TTATCAAGTCAACCGGTCATTTTCAAGTCAAAGACCCCAACCCTTCTACTGGAAGTCAGAAGGTTGGCGACGGAAGTGGAGTCCCAACGGGTACCTATGTATGCAGGACTGTTCCTCCCCGTCCTTGACAAGGTCCGAGGGAGGTACTGCGTATGGAGGTACATCCGCGTTACCGTGCGGAGTGTAATGTTGACCCATGCTGACAGGGTCCGCCCAGATACAGATGGTGCTCTATCTCGGGTTCTCCGTCCGTATCGACACTGCCTCGACTGCCTACACTGCTGGGCGGACAAGAGCACTGGAGACCGAGCACGATGGTCCACGGTCTGTCCACGGCTACAGCATTTTGCGCATCAACCGAGTGACGTGTGTCATCGTGCACCCGGCTTCTCGTCCGTTTCTTTCGCTCCGATCGCCATGCAACGATCTGCCCTCCTCACCCCACAAATGTGACGGCTACTGTATTATGTCGGCAGTGGTAGCAGCGTGACGAACAGGAGGGAGACGGTGTCACGGATGATTCTGTCCCGGAGATTGTGTTGTGCGCAAGGACATGTGTGACAATATCCAGTTGGGAGGTATTCGGATATATCCCGCAAACGATTGAAATACCTACTCCGTACTGTAACTTGAAGTATCTGAGGTACTCACATAGCCCACACTGCAGTACGTAGTAACTAACCTGAAGCAGACGAACTGCATGTTATTCATCATTTGTGTGTACACTACCTAGTATTACTACGGTAGGTACCTGAATAAATATATCTTTCCCGAATGAAGACTACATGTAATATCCCAATAACTGAGTAGGTATGCAACTTCGCCGAGACATGTCATGATTCCTTTGCTTATCATGGAAGGTATGGCAAAGGTATACTCCCCTGTCTTAATAATGGACGGTATTACTGGTTATCGTGCCTAGGAGCAGGAAGGGCCAAGGAGGAAGCGTCAGTACAGAACACCCAAAAAAAGCAACACCAAGACAACCAAGATTTTCGTAACGGCAAGGGTTTATCTCGCAGGCGAGCAAATCGGGACGGCGGTATGACAAGACGGGCAACCAGGCTCCCTAGACGTGTCACCCCGCACAGCCTGGCCAGGATGCCTGGGAAGGTGACTGGAGAGGGAAAGAATCTGGAATTTTCCAAAGAAGTATTTGTGCTCTCCGGCCGCGTGCGCTGTCCATTGCACAACCTCTCCCAGCCTTTCCTTTTACCGTACCAAGTTTATCTCTGACACCTAATCTCTCTTTCTGACACACACAGCTCATACCGGGATAAGTACACATGCGCACACACCAACGCAAGTGATCGTATGAACATACATACGTATGCTCAACCCTGAGAGAGCTGTCAGCGCATAACATCACTACTTCATATGCAGAAGGCAGCCTCACATCGCGGGATTCTAGGCTTGACACTTTTACTAAAGTTGCGGTGTGCGTTGGAGAAAGAAAGAGCCAAAAAAAAAAAGGTATGGATAGCTAACAAGCATGTTGGTACCGAATAAAAGATGCCATCTCGATTCCGACGTTGCGACACTGATCTGGTTCTACGTTATCGTTTCAGCTGGACCGGATGGGCTGTTCTGCAGATGCACCCGTCTCCTAATACCTACCTGGTTTAGGATGCATGTTTCCTTCACTTGTCATTAAACACGAGTTAGCCATTCTGAATTTATAGTACAATCCTCGCTCGTACTGTACGATATATACTCACTACGGTACCTATCAATCACGTGTGTCTTTAGAGACTGCTACACTGCCTACATCTCGACTATGTAGTAAGTGTTTTGTGTAATACGGTAGGTATGATAGCGCAGGTAGGCCAAACCCGCCCGCAGTCCGTGTCCCTAGATAATCAGGAGACGTGAGGCCAGATGACGAGCTGACCACATAAGTACCGTAGGTACTGTAAGTAAAGGGGTACGGGGCGGTGGGGTCAAGGCCGAACCCCCAGACCGAGTGTGACTGCACCGCCCTGTGGTGACAAGTAACTCGAATCCAGCAACACCATTCATGGATACCAGACAGACCTCTGCCAGACCATACTCTACTGAGTACTGAGTACGGTAGGACGGTCGATAGGTAGCCGACAGGCAGCAGAAATCGTCCCATGCACGATTGCCCTGTCTCGGTTACGCGCCTGTCATGGCCTGGTTCCAGCGGATTGTACGAAATGGCCCATCATCTCGGCGAGTCCCAGGGCAATACCTACATACAGTACTATGTATAGGGGGACGCTGAGCCTATCGGCAGCCGTAGCCTTGTCATGCTGTCGTAAGCAAGGATCTCTTACTGCTACCGTACCTTGGGGGAGATTTAGAGCACATACGTACTGTAGTACATGTGGTCCTGGGAGAACGTTTGTCTTTTTTTCATCTTATTTTGGTGTTTCATCAATCCGCGCTGAGGGAAAGGATTCTTCCAGGGACTGGGCGCTCCCTTTCAATTACTTACAAAGCAGGGACCGTGTTCAAGGTTCTGTCGTCTCTCTCGGCCGCTAAGGCATGTAACCAGGCGATCAGCAAGATTTCCGGTGTTCCCCGCGAATACCCTGTTACACTAATGAGATGGAGTCCCCGCAAAAGCCCTCCTGCTGTTTCCCCTACCCCGAACAGGCCCCAAATTGTAGTAGGTACCTTCATGTAGGTAGGTGGTGTACTGTGTACTGATGTGTAAGTACCTGCCAAGCCACCCCCATACAGAGAAATACATGTACATGTAAAAGCTCTTAGTTAGGAAGGCAGGTACTGATTAATGCACTAAAATCTTCTGTATCTGCCTGTAACGACCCTGCCAGCAGCGCCCTGTTAGGATCGTAGGGGCCAACTTTCCTGAAGTGGCGTGTTCCCGGCATCCATTCTCAGATCATCTACTTAAGTATGGCAGGTAGGTATTCCATAACCCATCCCACCAGTATCATCATCAGCCTGATTCCGAACAAATTTCTCATACTGAACCACTGTCAAAACTATAAGACACGCCTATCGCTTCTTTAGAGTTGGTGAGGCTGTTGGCTGATGGATGGGGTCCTTATCCCCCCGGGGGTATGACTTGAGACTCCGCCTCCTTTTCCCAGGCCAGGCAACGAACCGGCACGCGACACACGATCACGTTGGAAGGAGTCAGCTGAAGCTGTCGAACGTGGGGTCTCTACGCAATGCAACATCATTCTCCTGCTGCGATGTGCCGTAATAGTGTACACAAATGTGTACCTAAATGTAATGTAATATAAAGTACAGTGAGAGAGAGGGGGAGAGAGTAAAGGATAGGTAGGTATGAGAGGCGGCCGCGATGACAAGAAAAGACAACCTGGAAGTCCAGATATTATTCGACCACATCACCCCCCAATATCACGTCAGCGTTTGGTCACAAATCTTTTACCGCTTCCGCTCATTGCTCAAAGCCTTGAAGCCATTAGGAAGCGGGCAGGAATGAGCGAGGATTTGGTCAAATATGGGCACTACTGTATGACTAAGTGGAACACCGGGGAATAGAAAGATCTCATCATTCTATCTTGTTGGAATCTGGATATATACCCCATACCTAGACTAATAAGATGGGATCGAACCCACACGCCAAACAAACCCAGACAACGCTCATAACTGTTACTCGCTCATAGGCAGCTCTTCCCGGATTCGTGTTATAGGATAGATTCATCACATTTTTATCACCTCTTGGTCTCTTCCCGCCCTCTTCTATCGTAGGTAGTAGAGTACCAAGTCTGACCAAGCTACTGTGGTGTAATCCCCCACCGCCTCCTTCTGTGCAACATGAGCGTGTGCATGTCTCGCGCGGTTGAACTGCCACATGCAGTGCTGAGTAAGTAGCATTTCGGGGACGCCCGAGCCTGACGCAGGGTCAGCCAGCCTTGCATTTGCCTTTTTTTTTTTTTCGGTCTTTCTTAATTCTTTCATCTAAAAGAATCGTATAGGTATCTTTCCCCCAATATCACCTCATTCCCGTGAATACACCGTACCGTGCATCAAAGTTAATCTCGTTGATATGTGTGTGTGTGTGTGCACCATACCTCCCGACAGCTACTACCGCTGGCTCCGTACTTTAGGCGATGAAGGATGGGTGATCGGTTATCTATCTGAAGACCGATCGAATCATACCGAGAATGGAGCCGGTCGAGTTCCATATTATATTTACATTTGCTTACCTTTAGTTATTACAGTACTACCATCAGCCGCTGCCTTGCATTGGGTGATAGCCCTCGGGATACCTATACCACTTCAACCCCGTGAAGCGTACTTCGTAGGTATATGCGAGTAACATATCAAGTAGATGAGTTGCGACTTTGCTTTGTGTGGGTAGTAAGTGGGCCACCACTATCTTGGGGGGTGGTGTCATCATTCATACGTCTCATCAACCCATCTGTCCACCCATTCCAAGATATTGGAGGCTCGGTCAAGGGACAAACCAGGGCCCTTCCACGCTCACTACTTTACTTATGTCGTTAGCATAGGTACGTCGTATAGTGTGTGCCGTATCTGGCCGGACGGCGCAGGCAGGAGACGGCTTGTTACCGTCCTACATACCGGCACTTTACACGCGCATGATTATTTAGTTTATATACGGTATACACTAGACATCAGTAGTACTAACAGGCACGCATCGCGGGGCTATCAAGTTGCCAGAGGGCAACTGTACGCAGTACTACTAACTTAATTCTTAGTCAAGTGCTAATATGTAATATGCACTTACCTGAAATCATTCTGTCTAAATACACCACCAGGCGGCCCCCTTTCGCTCGTGGTCTCGGAAAAATGAAAGCAGCTGTCAGATAGCGAGGTCAAACCAGATCTTAAGAGATCGAATGATCAACTGGCCGTACTTATGCATGTACCTGTATAGTCTAGAAGGCATAAGCGCGAGACGCGGATAACGCGGGGGTTGTGCGTGCGTGCGTCTGGCATGTTTTTTTTTTTCCTCCCTCTTTCGTGCAGATTCGTGCTAGTGGGAAGGGGGAAAGAGTGGAAGTAGTGTATGTAATCAGGAAACCCTGGTCTTATCTCTCGACTGAACCATTAAAGTGACTAATAATAGACCATCACGATGCTGTAAAAGGATGGATCATCAGGCGTAGTCAGCCCCAGATGAGGGCGCGTAATGTACATCATCACCAGACTGTACTGCAAAAGACAGACAATGAGAAAAGGAAGGCGGCCATAGTAGTACCCAGCTTGTAAGCTTGCTGCTGTCAGCTGCGGAGTGGTACCGACAGGCCATCGTTTTGATCGATTAGATAGGTTCTGATCTGGGTGGCCGATCCGGGGTCCTCAAAATCTTGGGGAAAGAGGCCAGAACACAAGGCGGAAAATCGAGGACATAGTACCGGTAGGCCGTCCGTCATCAATTACGTGCTTTATTTCCAAGGCCAGAACAGAGCGCAGCCGGAATATTCGCAAGGTGTGGCGGCACTATTTAGATACTAGTGCAGTTTTCCTCGTAGCGTATCTGGCCGTCCAGCGTCTTGCCCTGCTCGGTGCCCGTATCGTAGATCGTTCTACCTAGTGTCTTGCGGGGCCCCGAGGGACCATAGATTAGCTACATATCAGTAGGAAGAGTACGTCAGGAGCTGATAGAGTAGTGTCACATGTCTACACTACCTTCAGTGAAAAGCATATCATGGGGTTGAAAATGATTAAATTAAAGATAAAACATGAGTGCTTTGAAAACAAGGTGTTTCCCATCTTTTCCCCCAGTCTCCCTCTCTTCCTCTCTCTCTCTCAAATTTCTTTTAATTTTAATATTTTTTTGGGGTGTGTTTCGTTTCGTTTTGTTTGGCAAACAAGCCCCAGCTCTTGAGATCAATGGAGGCAGGGGTCACATTTCCGACCACCTGAGGTGGACTACATGGGTGCGCATGAGCGCGAATCCGCATTGCCCACCTTCCCCCATCCTCCTTCGATTCATTCCTAAATTAATAATAGCTCATTTCGAAGTTATGTCATCATCAGGTCCATGATGCCGAGCTGAGGATGGGGAGCACAGGATAGCCGACACCCACCCGAATATGAAGTCCCCAGAACCACCCATCATCATCAGATGCCAGGCACATCATATCTTGTCCCTGGAGCGGTGAGTTTAGTGATGGAAGGTGGAGCTGGCCCCTCCCCCCCCCCTTTAGTTACCTACTTTTGCACGTCTATTCAAAACATCAAAAACTAAACTGAGAAGACATTGTGACTCAACATTGATCCTGTGCGCCTTCCCCCGCCCTGATGCTCATGTGATTTTAATAACGAGGGATGGTACAAGAATAGAGAATAGACTGTGCATACGACGTCACGATTTCGAACTATGATATAGATGAGATGTCGATTTGAAAATTGGTAAACAAGGAGAATTATAAAATTGTTGGTATTCGCAATTTTGTCCTGGGGAGATCCTGCCCGGAACCTCGCGAAGAGAACATAAACGCCAATTTGGCTGTCCTGCCTGTATCAAACAATGTCTAACCACCGAGGAACCCAGAAATCTACCATGAACCCCCCAATAACACACTACCAGATCCAATCGTTTGAGTTGGCCAAATCCCATCCGTATCCTCGATTGACAGCCATGTTCGGTTGTTGTAATTATGAGTGGGGAGAAATTGAATTGCTGAAATGCCACAGATGAAAACGCCGTCCTCTCTTTCTATATAGCCTCTATACTTCCGACCAAGAAAAGTCATTATTCATATCGTGATCTTAACTTTCATCACTTTCGTGTACCAGAGATGCATTTGCAATCTGACTTAGTCACCACCAGCGATACTGCCACTCGCGGAACTCCGCCCACTAGGGTTGAAAGCATCACTGGACAGGAGGTCGTGGACTGCTACCTTAGGGACTTGAGGTACTGGCAGTTTTCTACTTCGATCAGGCCGACTGATGATATCAGTTAACGACAAGCCTGATGATCGCGAGCTAGTAGGTGGTTGAGGCGTCGTCTGAAACCCTGAGCCTTCTAAGTGAGGCTCCATAGGTGCGAGGGCTGGAGTGTGACCCAATGTCAGATTGCGTAGAGTAGGTAACTCGATACCAGCGTATGGCCGAAGTCGTGGTGAATGGGCAGGTGTTGCTAAAGGTGTATGATCTGGAGTCGGCGATAGGGAGTCATGGGAAAAAGTCGGGGAAGACGGTGCTGTGGAATTAGGTGAATTTGGTCGCGACCGCTTAGCAAGGCGAGCGGTCTGCGAATAATGGTCATCTCGGTTGTCATCACCCGAATGTGAGCGAGACATATGATAGGCAGAGAGGGAGGGGAGATGGTTGCGAGAGTTGTGGTGTGAATGCGAATAATATTGCTGCCTCGGATTGTTTGGGGATAGTCCTTCATGCTCTAGTTGATGCGCAACATTTGCCAGGATACCTAGATCGCCATTAGCCATGGACAGCGGGCTATTGCCGCTGATGGCTCTAGGGTAATGATGTATAGGGCCATGTTGCGGCACAGCAAATGCAGAATAAGAATGTGGCGGCGACACGTTTGGCGACACAAGCGTAGACGTCGGGGCCGACTTAATGCTTCGCGGGCCCGAGGCAGGGGGCGGCATCATGGATTCGGGGGACAGCGCATGGCTGAGTGCATGATGCGTGGCCTGCCCAGCTTTGTTACCTCTCCTCGAGTTCGGGTTGTTGTGTATCCTCGAGTGCCGGGTAAGTTCGTCTGACCGAGAAAATTTCTTGGTGCAACCGGGGAAAGCGCAGGCATGCGGCTTCTCGCCTGTGTGAGTCCTGATATGTCTCGTCTGATGTTCCAAGCGGTGAAAGGCTTTATCACATAACGGACACTTGTATGGCCGTGGAAGCTCGTTTGGTGTCTCCGTAGGCTGGCCGCCGGGCAAAGGTCCATTAGGCCTAATGATGCTCACGGAGGCCATGTTTACGTCTCCTTCGGCGTCCCTGGTCGGGCTTGCGGTGGTGTTGGCTTCCGGGTTCAGCAGGTTGGAGAAATCCACCGCTGAATGTGAGCGTTGCATGTGATCGCCAGCCTAGTGGGCACTGACATGCGCTACGTCGGTGTGGTAGAAGTATGCTTGCTGAGCAGGTGAACGGGTTGATTCGCTGAAGTTTATATAGTGTATGAAACACAATGTCGGGCCAACGGCTAAAGCTTCCTCAAGATCTGCACCACAAAAAAAATTCCGGCGTATATGTGCCTTAGCAAATCCACCAGTCGAAGCGTCCTGATTATTGACGACGAACAAGACACTAGATCCTGTGAAGCTGCTGACTCTCGTGCGAAGGCTGGTAAGGTGGATATGGAAGTGATGCCTGCCCGCCTAGGAATCCGGGGATCTGAGGGCGCGAGGATTCAGATTGTGTCTAGTGTTGAATGTATGTATGTATGTATGTAAGTGCTAGAGTTTAGAGAGGGGGGAAACGTTCTGCGGGCTGATGGGGGTTCAAATGCGTTTTAAAGGAGTTAAGTAAGCCGGAGGATAAGACAATGAGACAATAAGACAGACAGTGCAGACAGGTGGTCAGAGTCTAGAGATCAAGCCCTCGTAAGTACATGCTTAGTACGTACCTACATACTACTTAAGTACTAAGTAGATAGAAGAGAAAAAAAATTAAAAGCGTGGGACTAGGTAGGCACACACACACCCTCGCCCTCGCTGGGGAGATGCTGGGGTGTGTAGGGGGGCGCTTTGGGGGTGGTGGAGAGGAGGGGCAATCCAGCGCGCCCTAGGCACTATGCGTACCAGCGAAGTACCATGTACCCACCCACCCACTGCATGTGGGCATGTACTTGTGCTGCCCTGCCCTGCCCCGTGGGTTGCAGGCTGGGGCTCCTTACTTATGCACATGCACCATCACGTATCTCAGTTCCATACATGAAGTAAAGTACCTACCCGGCGAGACCTACATGTAGGTAGTAGGTGTAAGTACGTAGGCACCCACGTAGCCAGCCCAATATGTGCTATTAGTAGGCCTTCATGATATGCTACACTGCAGGGGACCACAGGCCATTGGGAACCGCCTACAGAGAGGTACGACGGGCCCGTATGTACTGTAGGTACCTACGGTAGGTAGGTAGGGTAGGGCTTAAGGAGCACAGTGCAATCTGGTACCTGCGGGCCTGTAACTTGTCGGTCTCCGCCTGAGCCCTGCCCCGGCTCTCGTGGCAGAGGGCGAGCCTTGGCTTCCACGGCTCGGCTCTTTCACCTTGCACCAGGTACATATGTGTACTCGGGCGGCTATTTATGTGCCCAAGGTACTAAGTAGGTACTTGAGGATCTCTAGAGTCCATCTACCCGAGTAGTACTTAAGTTGTCGTGTCCCTCCTACGCTAAAAGAATGTTCCTGTAAAGTACTCTCCTACCACAGATTCGCTAATCCGGGACCTCCAGACCTCCACCGCCTGATGTGCTACATGGAGTACTTCTGTAAGGATACACACATGCAGAGCCGTACCTACTCTACTATGTATGTAGGCACCTCTCGGCGCTCCTAAATCTTCAAAAACAAAAGAAAACAACAAGTCAATGCTGCAACACCACCCGCCTAACCTCAAGCAAGGCCTCTACACCAAGTAGAAAGAGTATGGTGCAGCCTATGTCCAATAGTGATACTGTCATGGAAAGGGGAGGGTGGTTGAGTCCTTGACCCCGATGCATCATTACCGCACTCAAACCTGAAGTGTGTTTTTCTAGAGAGGCTACCCTACCTTTTATATTTGTCTTCTCGGCTGTACTACGTACTCTGTTTATGAGTTATCAAAATCTCTTATGAATATTGTCGAATAAGCATTGTTCAAATTATGTGTTTGACTTGTAAAGTCGAGGCAACGGACTCGTCAAGCGGGCCATACCGTGATGGTCGGAAGTTGTCCATAGGCGCAGAGCCTCGGCCAGCATCATCGGCAATGCGGAGTGAAGCGAGCGGTGAGGTCAGTAGTCGGACGAGTGAGTCAGTAACGCGTCGATACATTCACTACTGGAGCCGGAGATCACCTATTGTGCCATATTGGATCATCAGGTACCCACCAGGCCTTTAAAACATGTGGAAGGGATGGGTTAGTTGGTATCTGCCGAACATGAGCATGCTCTGGGGCTAATAGGGTTGGTAATAGTTAATAGACATATGCAGGCCAGGCACATGTACCTCGTCGAGTTGACATTTTAATACATGTAAGTGAGGCTGTCAAGTTCCCATCCTATCTGAATTAGGCATGTACACCCTCGGTATGGAAACAAGGTCAAGCTGCACACTACACTTGACACATTGCCAAAAGTTCATCTCTCAACGTGCTCTGCCACCTGTATCAATAACAACTCAGTCACCTGCGAGTGGCTATAACGCCCCCTTTCCTCTACGTTTTCTGCCCTTCTTCTGGCCACCATCCGATATAGAAACCGTCGTCGATTGCAGAAGCTAAGGACCGCCGTACACGGAGTAAATTTTTTCGGCCGCCCACAAAATCTCTCAATCAAATTATTCCCCAGATAACGGGACTCAGGGACCTAGATAACTAGTGAGCAAGCTCTCAATGGTAGCACAACCGCCATTTGTGGAGACTAAGTAAGAAATTGTGACAATTTAAGTTTTTCCAGAATCGGCTTGTTTCCTCGCCTTCACCTCGGCATTTCCACCTCATTTTCTCGGTATCCTTCTCAGTAGGATTGAAGATACAAGACACTGACAATAAAGAAAGAGGACAGGCAGTGGGGAAATGTTCCGAGTTTACGCAATACTTATGATCATAGTGTAAGTTCATGGACCCTCAATAGACCAGGTATCATGCAATATCTACATACATGTATGTATTCAGTGATGTTCTCCGGATTCAGACACCTCAGCTGTGTCGAGGACAGACTTGGCTAGGAGCGATAGATGCCTCACACTAGAGACTCGGCGGCTAGGCAGTTTCCAGGCGCGAGATATTTGTAGATAAAAGCAACCGCAGGGAAGTACGGTAGGTCCAGCAGATAGGCGTAAGTATGCAGAGACCAGTGCTGCGGCGAGGGCCAAGGTCCGGTTTATCGGTGGCGGCGGAGCCCGCTAGAATTTAGAACGGAGCCTGTCATCACGCTGCCTTTTGGGACACATCGCATCCCTTCTGGCCGAGCAGACAAGCCGGGCCTCCATGATATCCGACGCCATTCTTCTCAATCACTCGCGTCTGGACCTCTCTTCGCCGACAACATTCTTTAGCGCAGTTGCAGGTCGTAACGCTGAACATGAGGGCGGCCTTTTTGCTTCCCCATCTTATCGTGCCCCCCTCGTATGATCGCTTGGGGAATGGTACGAGTCTACAGTACGGGGTCAAACGATGATAACGCCGTACCTATCGTCACCCAGGGCCTCTATGCGTAGTACTGTACATGTTGTAGAATATCTAAGTACGTGTACATTAGCTAGTATGGTTGGTGTTGTGTTTATTGAGCCTATCACATGCCAGGATACTCTCCCCCACACTCTGCTTTGACTCCGTCAACCGCCAATCTCGGGGGTTTGGGGCACCCCAGACATGCGGCGGCCAAGTTCTCGATACGCTGCCCCTCCTGCAGTCTGATCATACATTACAATGATTCCATACCGTCCGTCCCATCGAGATACGGTACCGGTATCTGGTGTACCGGTACAGCTTATGAAGGCCGAGCGTTCTGGCCACTCATCGCTGTGTCGACATTCCTCAACAAGCAAACTTGAACACCTTCCTTCGATATGTCCTAGCTTTCATACTCGAACCATATTTCATCTTGCCATGGTTGCCCACCAAGGTGATATCCTCATCAGGCAAGAACAAGCCGTTCCTAAGAGAAGACGAGAGCGCTCTGTAACTAACTCAGCCTACTCGAATCTACCCAAAACAAGCACCACATTGATGAGCAATACACTAGTTTATAGTAATGAACTTGTCGTTCCACACCCAATCCTACTGTATCAATGTTTATCCGGCGTGCATACATAGTACATAGTAGGTCCCTTACCGCATCCAGTGTCTGGGATCCTTCGGCCCACTGACCTCGGAAAGATCTATCCTTAGTCAATAAGTGTGGCATATCGCGCCGTTGTACCAATCCTACCTAGCCTTGCCGGGAAGCGTGGGGGTCCTGAGCTTGACAAGGCTTAAAAATTCCATACGTTCCGGCTTAAGTCGTGACGACGGAAGATTACGGGCTGTTCTGCTAAAGCTATCTATGTAAATAAGGAGGCCTTTAATCAGCAGGAGCGTTACTTACTACAGTAAGTACATCATCAACCCGACCATAAAGGTGCGAAGTGGTACTAGGACAGGACACAAGTTCTCATATCTAACCATCCCATCGTCTCCCCTCCATGCTTGTGGGCAGGATAACTACTTCGAGTATATTGCTTGATTATATCACCACGTAAGGGCGTAAAGCTGACTTCCAACAAGCCTCGTTCGCGGAAACACGCAAAGGCCATGGCCGTCTACAGTCTTGGTTGATGTCATGATGTAAGGGGCGAAATCAGTCACCCCTGACACAACGCTATCCCCTAGGTGTTAGCGAAAATACCCTGCTGAGTCGGCGATTGCCACGTCTGAAATTTACATGTAACGCCTAGATACCTTCTACTTGCCCGACTAATGTAAAAGTTTGTGGGGTGTATCAATATCGTCGGGCTTCTTTTTCGAGAGCTACCGTATACCGTAATTGCCCCATACATACCAGGCTCTGATCCCTAATGGCAAATTGACTTCAGAGAAGCATGAACACGACTGTTTTGCTAAACCTTCTGTGCGCCTCATATCGGCTTGGCGTCTGGGGAAGAGCTTTTACCTCGGCCCCCAACCAACAGTAAATGAGTTGTAGTCTGTCAATCCTCCGAATACGGTAAGCCGCGCATTGACTGGGGCGACCACAGAAGGCCCAACTAAGTATGTAAGATCAACTTTAAACTGCCGCGCCAAATTGGCACCGGTCCATCCAGTCATGGTATCATGCTGAACCTATTCTTGCACCGCTGTTTGCTAGGGATTGCTTGATAATCTTTGATGAGTCGAGGCCTTGAGGCAGAAAGCAAATTGTAGACGTACCAGGGTTTCTACATGATGCTTAGTCCACACTTACATCACGATATCACCTTCCATCCAACACTGGCAAGCCCCAAGCCAACGATCCTCGAGTCAGTATGTAGGTATATCATCACTGAGAGTCCCACACAGCTTGCTTCATACTCGAACACATGTTTAACGCAACGACCTGCTCATACTAAGTAGACGGGATGCTACAGTAATATCCCGGCCCCTGCGCTGCTCCTATTTCGCCTTGAATTGCAAAGTAGGCCTCTTCCAGATTGGGAATTAATACCATCGAAATTGCATGTGATTTGCAGTTCTCCGCAATTGGAGTGCTGAAAACCACCTATTCAACGAACTACATGCAGTACCAGTGCTCCAGATATGATTTTCTCTGTGTATAAGCCTACTATAGGTATCAGTTGAACCATCGACAGATCAAAGGCGATCAAAGGGTCCATTTGTTCATGTAAGGTCTGCTTGTTTGGTATCAATACCGACCAAAAGAGCCGTACTAGACCCACAAGACTGTGCATTGCACGATAGAGAAAATATCAATATTACAAGGAATTATGGCTGTTAAGCCTACACTCCACCTACCTTCGGTTTACTTATATGGGGTGGGCAAGTACGAGTCAGGCAGGTACTGCCTAGTAGACTGGCGAGACGGATAGTAGATATACACAGTTGCGGCTAAACTTGACAGCGCTGATGACTTTTGCTGTGATAGAATGCTTCATAAGCTAATTCAATATGCATATTAAGCGATCTACATAGTACTAGAAAGTTTGGAGCCGGCATGGTCGCTGAGCTCTCCCCACAGCACTGTGTAGGCAAAAAGAACTCATCACCTTGAGGCCACCTGTTATTGAAGGTTTGTTGGCTGTCTGAGAATACGCCAAGATAATGAAATGGATAATCTCTTTTCAGATGCTGGGTCTGGCTGGGGTCAAACTCTTTTTTCTTTTTTCCTCTTGCTTATGCATCTGATTGTTGGATACCCCAGCTTTTGTACAAACTCTGAGAACCTCTCCCCAAAAGGGTCAATGACGAAGCCAGCGTGACGGCGCTATTGCTAGGAATACCAACCTACGTGGCCATGGCATGTGATATTGTACTGCTGTGGGTTCACCTCTAGCCACGCTCTCTGTTTATCCTTCATCGGCAAGGCCGTGACAAGGACCGTAACGCCCATCTGAGATGCTAGCAGCTTCTAACGACCTACCGAAACAAAGTCAAACACAGCTTACCTAGAAACGCTATCAAGGAGTCTTCCCAAGGTATTATCGTCGCCGCCTTGTGTCGTGATGATGCTACGTACGCACTTGCACCCGGGGAGGCACCGCATATTATCGGTAAAGCTGTCTGAAACTTTGCCCTGCCCCAGCATCAAACTGTAGCACACCTCGTACCTGCATCACAGCCCCTGTAGATGATCCTCACAAGTGACATCGACACGTGTGGGTATGTATCTCTTGTTCTTCGGCCGCCGTGGCAGCTTCGGCCAATAGACGGTCAGAATCAAGCCCTCCGCGCGTAGAGATCACCATAGATGACCGAAAGAGACCGTATCCATTTCTGCGCTTGAAGAGGGTGGGGTAGTGGGGCTCCTCAAAGGGTCCTGATACCGGTAACTCTCGGTCTGTTCGGCCTTGATACCCATGTCTGCCCATGTTTTTTCGTGCTAAAAGCCTTCGAGAGTCAATGCGATTTGAAGGAGAATATTCCTGTGCTGCCTGTCTATCCATAATCTTACACATACTTTATGCCAAAGGCGAGACCGAAACATGACCGGGGTTCATGACCGAACAAGCACTTTGTTCCAGTAGACTCCGCGAAGCCAATCGTCGAGACCTGTCGTGATCGAGGATAGCGAGGTCTAGAACGAGACTGAGCTGTATAACAACAATCACAGTACATAGGTAGCCCATCATCCCCGAGAGCCTTTTACTATGTACTGTTAGCATGAGGTATCTATTCTCTTACTTAGTATGGTGCACTACAGTGCATAGTATCATATAGAGGCTAGAGCGATATCGTCCACAGGGTTGTAGAGCCCAGTACTTAAACGGCCCGGCGCTCGGTGAAATTCTACACGACCATTGGAACCACCACGTGCCCTTGGGCGAAGAATTCCCATTCACTTATCAGTACACTACTAGGTAGTAGACGCACTGCTACTATGACCTACGTATACCAGCGCCGCGTCTAACAAACTTCATTCGGGCCGCCCACCCCCTGGGATCCTTTGGTCCATGAGGCTATTTTAGAGGCGGAGGCTAGGTAGATATAGTGTGCTTCTCGCTAGATATAGATGAAGATAAGAGCCTGGCGAGCCTGGATACGCAAACTTGCTCAATGCCACCACTATCACTAGTGGCTGATCGCGCTTCATGTATCAAGTCAGCTGGGGTATAGGAAGCTGAATAGCCACAAGCCAGATTGGTGTTTGCTGGTAGATAGTGACAGATGATGAGTGTTGGTCACCTCGAGGATATGCTGTATCCAGATCAGTCCTCGACCAGGAGATTGAGTAGCGTGTCTGACAAGGACAGATAAATCCATCGTCAACCCCACAGCAGCGCACCTTTTTAGACTAATGTTGCAGGGCTCTCTCCTCTGTTGGGGAATGGTGTCAATGACGCCAACTTGTTTCCCTTACTCCTATCGATATTATGTGACCGCGGCTCAGTCATATGCTGCTTACTACATAGCCATACCGTTGCGACGGTTCTTGCTTCAAGCTCTTCCATAATCGCGCCAGGACCGTATGGCAATACATCATTCAGATAGCTGTATGAATGCCATTAGGGAGTCCCAAGTGCTGCCAACCTTACTTAGCGATAGCAGATAGGTCCTTGGTGTTCCTATTCATTGCAGAACATCGGTAATGATCTCAATGTCTGGTGCCTCGTGTTGGGCTTCGATGAAAAGGAATGAAAAACGCTTGTTGCTAGTAGCAAGTATGTCAAGGTATGGCCATTGTGACTGTATTGAGGTTGTAGATGGGAAGATTGGCCTACCTAGAGCCCTAGCACTGTGACTACCTATATACATAGTGTAGGTGGTAACTGCCCACAAAGTATGTATGTTTTCCTTAGGTACCTGCCTACATATAGTTACGGTAAGAGTACACCCAGAGTACGTCATGTAAGTACCTCTCAGTCACCTAAGGTACCTCGAATGTCACGTGCACAGCCGAGTTGTTGCGCCTACCTATCACGGCAATGTTATCGTCAGTCAGTCAGTACGTACACGCAAACACTCACAGGCGCATCGGGAGCTCGGTTGTTTAAACATTTCCGTGAACTCAAGCCCTCTGAACTTGGGCACCGTCGATGAGCTCGAAATGTAGGGGTTTCTCTATATAGCCGTATTCATCTCACCTGGCAAAATGGACAAGAATGAGTCGATCCACGAGAAGGATGTGTCGAATCTTGATTTCACTTCTACTCGTGAGTTGTGCAATGAAAAGAGCTTATTACTACATGAGAATACTTATCTCATTCGTGTCAGATCGGCTGCCTACAATATCGGCAGCACAAGCTTTCGACGACCTCAAGAGCAATGTGCGGCAATTTATCCCTACTGGTATAGAGGCACTCGATTCAGCATTGGCCGACGGGTCCCTTGAGAGTCTCGATGAACCACAGCGCCACCGAGGTTTTCAGAAGGGACAGGTTGTAGAGGTTTGGGGGCCTCCAGCTTCCGGAAAGACAACTCTTGCGTATGGTCTCAGTCTACACACGTCGACTGCTCAAGGCTGCAAGCTCACCTGTCTGTAGCATGCAGACTACTGCCAATGTCCTAGCCGATGGCTGTAAAGTGGTTTGGGTAGGTCAGTTTTGATTCTACTTCGACGGTACTTCCGTCTTGGGTCGGTCTAATGAGGACGGCGAGCAGACACATCAAGTTCCTTGTGCCATCATAGATTTGGCGAAATAATCGGTTTATCAGACTCTGTGAACGGAACCACAACCCCGCTCGAAGCATCTAACGCTGTAGCCAACCTGGTTCATTACTTCACGCCGACTCTTGCACACTTCATCGGGCTCTTTTGCAAGCCGGAGGCGTCTAGCATTCCTAGTAATACTTCCCTCATAGTGATTGATGGACTCTCTAGTCTGGTCAACCGTGCTTTCCCGAAGAATGTCGAACGTCATCAAAATCACAAAGGTACTCATCTCGAAGGATACATATGACTGGCTACTCTCGCTCAATGGTTGACCCTTTGCTCTTCCTAGTTCCTAGCCCTGCCACCAGACGGCTACAAGTTCTTCAGTCCATAATCTCAACTTTACAAAAGCTCTCGGCCACTCGAAATATTCTCGTATTAGTCCTAAGCCAATGCGCCACGAGAATGCAACTTGAACATGGCGCAACAATCGTCCCAGCTATTAACGCCTCTACCTGGGAGCAGGGAATTGCCGCTCGCTTGGTACTTTTCCGAGATTGGACGACGGTTAATGCAGGGTTGCGTAACGTCCGCCTTGTTGGTGTGCAAAAGAGCTACGCTCAGGTCAACGCTGATAGTTTTAGATTGATTATCCCTTTTGAAATATCCAATGTATGTTATGAACCAACTGCGATCTGTCATCATCATATTAAAATCAGTAGGATGGTCTTGTTGGCCTGGACTGGGAGACCGCCCAGGCATCCTTGGCGCTTGCCAAAAACCCTCAACGCCAGAAGCGAAAATTCGATGAGACCGACGACGAGATAGCGGATAGCGAAGCAGAAAATTATGGATGGGAGGATGAAGATGAAGCAGAAATGCCTAACATGCCGCCACAATGGCAAGGGAGTGAGGACCTCCTTCTTGGTCGTGCAGATGAAGACGACTACTTTACGGTGGAAACATAATCATGCGAGAATCCGACACCTGTGTGGTCGTCATATCCTGAAGATGAGCAGCAGAGGTAATACACCCCATAAAAACACATATACCTACCTGTTAGGCTCGCTTGGTGCCCGATGCTAGCTTGGCGGCCAATACACGATATTCTTTGTTCCTGGGTATGAGCGTACGGTAAGGATCCGTCTGAATCTCCACATATGGGGCTCAACACCCATTGATGCCGTCTTCGCCATATCCACACACTCTCTCCACCGACCGGTTCTTTCCACACTAGGTCCGGGGAATCTATGGTGAATACCACCGAGTAGATGGGCCGAACAGACTGTGCGACGGGACACCAATCCGCACTCAGCATGCACAGACATCCGCCATTTTCTACATAGAAGGACTTGTGCCCGTATATGTAAGATGGTAACGCCCTCGACTACACAATAATCGCGTAATGCGGACTATCGATCCGTCGAATTACAAACCCCCTTTCCAATGTACTAATCCACTCCTTTTGTCTACTCCACATTTCATTAAGAGTCCGAAGAGCGAGAGTAAAATTCTCTATGCAGGCTACCTGGAAAACTACACATAGAAACGAATATGTTATTGGATTTGAATACTTTTGCCCGTGATTCATGCCTAAACAGTACTTCAGAAGGAATTCACAATTTTCCACCACGCCATTAACCACGTCAGCACTTTTAGCCGGTCTCGGTGCGAGACCAGGTTATAGTCGCAGTGCAGCGTTTCAACGCATCTGCTCAGTCATTGCTTTAAATTTTGAGAGCTTAGGAAGGCTTGCCTGCGTCGCTATCGGCTGCAACCAGTCTCGCCAGTATCAACACTCTCTACAGGAAACATTCCCGGGGTGCTCCAACGAATGCGCCCGGGCGGTTGCTCCGTATCATACCGACCCTTACTCAGCAGACCTTGATCCTCTGCGGATAACGGAGACACGGGGCATATTGTATCCAGACACGGGATCCTGTACAGTATATTAGTATCGGGCTGTTGCATGGTTGAATAACGCATCTGCTGTCGCGATTCCACACGAACATGCCAGTTGCCTGCCCCTGAAGGATATGTGCATTGGAATAAACATGCCGTCTGTTCTAATCAATCTAGGTATCGCACCTGGCATGATGAACTACCTAGATACTCCCCAAAGTGCATTCGCTCTGCCGGTATTGCATATTCGCTTAAGTCTCGGATCCATGACTGGAGACATCCTTGCAGACCGGTCGAGCAACTCGGTCTAGTCAAGACCACATCGCCACACGGGAGAATCCAAGCAGATGAAGCCAAACACAGTCGCCCGTGATTCGGCCGCACACCATGGACATATAAGTATGATATAAAACAAAATGCGGCAAGTTCGGGCGAGCTCCATTTTCACCGTGGTGTGCTTAGTGCCTTTGCCAGCCTGGCTGTTGAGCTGTCTAACATACTATGTAGGCGCCCACAGGTCCACTAGGTAAGGGTGAGCTTCGGACGCGGGTCTCGGACACTTTGGCGCGTAGCGGAAAATTGAGCCGCCTTTCCACTTAATTGTTGGTGTGACACTCGATACGCATCAGAAGCGAGTGTTCTAGATTAAACAGTTGCCTTGCAGCAACCATACGCAGGCTACTTACACTCCTTGGATACACCCTACGGTATGAGAGATTCAATGACCCGGAGGATCTACGTGGAATTTCAACAGTTTTGCGACGTCACGGACTCGTCTCAGACGGTAGCGGGATAATAGCACAAACTGTGAAAAAAAAAAAAAAAAAAAAAAAAAAAAAAAGCCAGGCATGTAAACAGCACACCTCGTCAAATGCTAGCTCTTCCACGTATAATTCTAGGCTGGGGGTATACTTATGTACACAACTTATGATGCATCTGGCTCCACTAGCGGCGAGAAAATCTCTGATCTTGAATCGTACGGCTAGATGTAGGTTAACCAACAGTTGTACAAATTGTGCTAATGGAGAAAAAAAAAAACATATCGGTACTTTGGTGGGGGAAGATTGGGTCTAGCCAATGAGTTGCCTGATTGTTACGGCAAACGATCAATCTTCCGATCAGAACATCTCCTGACCGAGGCGGTCTTCTGCAGAACTCTGCCAATGATAACGACTTGCGAACCAGGGCCGTTTCCCCCCTTCCCATGTATTAAGCCTTGTTTTCTAGAATATCGGGGTTGGTCGCCCTTACCCAACTTCAACGACCATCGGTTCTCGACTGCATGAGCTCACCCCATCACGTTATCCACTTCACAGTGTGCGTGCCTTATCCCATCTTCGTACCTTCTTGAACGACACCATCTGGGGCGTGCATGTATTTGTACCAGTAGGAAATTCGACGATTGGGTGAGAGCACTACTTCTTCCACCTTGGGGCTTTTGCTCGCCGACTACAGAGTTCAATCAAAACACCGGCAGGCGTTGTGTAGACGTGTCTACTACGTAGGTGCTGGCACTTTGAGATGCTGCAACGTCTTCTCTTCGGACACCTTGTCAAAACAACCTTAAATGTCCTTATCATGGGCAAAATGGCCATTGGGACAGGATGCTGTGTGTCTTGATTCGCAAATCAAAGGGTCCTAAACCCACAAAGGGAGTCTGAAACGTGGCTACGACAACTTTATTCTCATTATAAATGATATCTCGTATGTTGTGCAGGAGTAATTAGTGCCTTGTAGGGTTGCTAGTAGTCAAAAATATGTCTATTCTATTACGAAGTGTTAAGAAAAGCATATTATTCCGAGTCTACTTATTTCCACTCACTTCAATTTTGCTTCCGATTAACGATCGGTTTTTTTTCTCTCTAGAATAACCAACAGTTGATCTATGTGAATTGCGTGTGCGGATTTTGTGCCTGCTCTCCTAATCGTTGCGAAACCGGTGACAACAGTCTTTTTCACCCCTTTTTCTTCAAGTCCCTACAACACAACCACTTCTAATCTATATAGTCACTATCCTTCAATTCCAACAATCTTTACAGCAACGGAACCTAGCAATGATTTTCATTGGGGTGCTCTACGAAACCATGTCTGCCATTTGCTCATGGCAGGAGTTCACCACGTATTCTCACACGTGTTGTTGGGAAATGACTGTTGTAGAAAGCAGACATTAAACACGTAACTAAATAGTGCATTACACCGAGCTGTTGGGAAGTCGGTCAAGAAATATGGGATGTTCATGTAGTAACTACTTCTAGAATAACTGTAATTGTCTTGTTCACGCCGTTTTATTGAAATGTAAGCTGAAAATAGGTGTAAGACACCCAGTCTGTTAAAACAGAAAATTTTACTCTAGTACTAGAAACTCAATCATTACTAGTTTATATTTATTCGATTGTAGACCTTTCCTCACGCTTTCTTAGCCCGACATGTTAATCTCTTTTCATTCTATTGACGAGTCACCGCAGTCTTTCTCTCTGATCACACGCGGCCTTCCCTGCGCTTCGTGTATACTCAAAGGCGCCAGGGTCGATGTGCATGCAGTTATTTTAATTATCAGTGCACAAAGTAGGTCTCACTGGATATATATACCGAATAAGTTAGATAAGTAGCTTCGAAATTATAACCTTGCTGCAGCATTGGTAGCTTGCTCAGTGTACACATTATCTTACTTACTCAATAATGAGATTCATTGCGCTAACCTACCAGGAATTGCCATTCCCTTATAATTCCGGAGTATAGAAGTTAGCCGTACACTGAGTATTTAGAGTTCTAGGAAGAGTTGCTTTAGTTTACATAACGTACGGCGTGGAGAGAGTGTTCGCTATGCTGCGCTCAGTGTTGTACATACCATCACTCTATACAGTCTCATGGGGAGGGTTCATATTAAGACGATTTCGTCATAGTAAAGTGCGCGTTCATTAATGATAGTAGATTTTTCGTCAATGAATCTATGTAGCTAGGCAGTTGGCTCTGACACTTTCCTGTTGATCCTTCTCCATATAAAACCGGCAAACGTCATTCACCTAGGAAGAACCAAAACCAAATGCCTTCCGTTTACCTTCAAGTAGAGAGGTATACATGTACCAGTATCCGCTTATTTAGTCCTCTGACCAACTATGTCTTTAGAACCCTGATAATTCTGATTGCGTGAGTCAAAATTGGCCGACAGTGTCTCCTCGTTGACAGCCAGTGTGAAAGTGTACACTGAGAAGAAATAAATGATACGACTATGTGTTCACATATATCTGGCCACGGATAGAAACCGTACAGAGTCACAAGACGACGACAAGAGTGACTCAGAGCACACGTAACGCGATGATGTTTGACTACTTCATACGCCTGATACGACAGCCTACCAACTCAAGTGAGACCTTGCTTAGCACACTTCTCAGGACTGTTATAAGAAGTGTCCAAATATGCCATTAATACGAACTATAAGTTCATAAATTTCCCCGCTGCATTACATACCATTGCTGGCCCGTAGGTTGCAAAACTGCTGGTCTATTGTTGGTGACGAATATCTGAATGAGCTACTGACCATCTGATAAGTAAGAATTATTGATACCTGGTGTATGAGATGGAGAAGGGGACTGCTGGGGTTTCCTCATGACACCTTCAGCCATTGCCAAAGATTTGACGTGCCCAAACTACGGAGCTCTGTAGAGTAGATTATTTCAACTCATGGTTACAGTGTATATAGTAGAACCTGTAACAGAGGAAAAGGAAATGATAGATGACAGGGTCTGAGTAATTGTATCACGGTTTTATGATTCGTTGGCGATGAGAGTCAAGGCATCCAGCAGAGTCTAGAAGCAATCACCCCATTGTGCCGAAAGCAGCTAGGGTGAGTAAGGGCTGAGAAGGCAAGTCAAAATTCTACAGGTAACTCCTACTAGTATCTGCTCATTAGGGATAAAGACGGTAGTAACGATGAATAACACGAATCTCGGGCGTACAGCGATGATGTGTATATTTTACAACGGAAGCCTTCAGATTGGGAGCATACACATCGATAGATACATATATTGCTTCATATGCGCTTAAAAGGGCCTTGAGTCATACCCGTAACTCCGTCGAAAGTACCCAATTGAAGATATGCATGTATCTAGGCTATCCAGTGGGTAGGTACCCAGGTACGCGGCTCACATTGAAGCTTTCAGAGTTCTCACGTCTTAGCTCTTAGGTGGCATTGTTCATCCATTCTGCATTCTGCATTCTGCCCCATTGGCCATTGATTGCCCATTGGCATTCCGACCTTTCTCACCCACTTGTATCCATATACTCGACGTAACGCAGTTTTTACATACAACAACTTGAATCCGAGAAGAAGACTCTGACGGTGGCTGAGGCATCTGGGGATAATAGCGCAGCTCCGTGTGATACTCACTCTTCGCGCGCCCAATTGGCCCTCTCATTTGGTTCCAATTGCTCGGTTCATTCCCCTTTCAGTCAATGTACGTGTAGTAGTGTTAGTATTGTATATGGTACGAGCGCTTTCGCTGGGTCATGGTAGTGGTCCACGGTGTTTTTTATTCCCACCCGGTCGGTTTCACTCGCGCTTCATTCACCACACACACACACACACACACACACACACACACGCACATTGTATACACACACATACACATACACTCCCCCAACGACGCCCTCCTTCTTTACCCTTCATCGTATTTCATCGTCCTTTATCATACTTCATCACTGGTTGACCCTTGACCCTCAACTTCCCAAACTCTCACCTGTCACCGACTGACTCTCGCTCTAAAATCCACTTTCGCCAATTGCCGTCACCGCGTGTTTTCCTTCTCACATCGTCTCGCGCTTTTGCCGCTCCTCCCGCCATTCCCATCACACCTACCTATCTACCTACCTACCTAGGCATTCAATCTCCCGCGCGCTGTTATCCCAGTACCACATCGAGACTCAACCCCCCTGCCACGATCGGTTCTGCCACTGCTTACGCTGCTTACAGTGCTTACAGTGGACTCTTCTTCCGCACCAAGGTAAGTGCGCTCACATATGCTCTTACCATATCATCTGTTACTCACCGTTTACTGCTCACTACACTGCAATATCCTCTTCGAGTCTCATCAACACCCTTCCATGGGCCCGGATCCGGGCCTTTTCTCTGCCGCTGCCTTACAATTCCCTCGCGTCTCTGTTCTCCAATCTTCCCTGCGCATTGTATCCTGCGCCTCTACGGATGCGACCGTGAATCATTTGCCGAACCGAAAGGCTTGGCACATAGTGTGTTAGGCCATTATAGATAATGCGTGGCTACGTACCTATGCCCCCCTTGCCTTGACAGCCACCTTTCAGCTTCCATGTTCATTCACATCTAATCTGGCACGGAAAGCTCCTTTCTTTACCACCTGAATAGACTAATAAGATAATTACCTTCAGTGACGCATCATGGCAACGGACGACGCCGGGGAAGGCCAAACCTCAACCGAATTCTCATGGCTGTAAGCATCTGATTCTTTTCAACACAACGAGGCCAAAGCCGATTTACAGTTTTCACTAATGATGAGTTCCATAGTGAGCCACACCCGCTTTTTTGCATTATCCTTGTTGGCGAAAAAGTGGAGGCCTTTGGTATCCAGAAGGATTTTCTCATTGCAAAATCAACCTATTTCCAGAAATATTTCGCCGAAAAAAAGGAACAGAAAGTCGAAGATGTTGTTCGGTTCCCCGACACCGACCCTGTTGTTTTTGGCCTTGCCCAGCTCTTCATGTTCACTGGCACAATAAATCCTGCGTCTCAGCGGCTACCAGGCTTTGATCTAATGATAGCAGTATGGAAGCTTGGTGATGAGTTGGGCATTGACGGTCTGTGCGAGGAGGCTCTCAGGGCCATGTCAGAGTATAGGGCCGCGACGAATAGTATTCCTGCCACAGAGCTCTTGGTGAAGGCCTGGAAAGAGACACCCGAAGGATCCCCCATCCGTGCCTTGCTTCTATCTTGGACCGCCGAGTATATTCGATCATCTGAAACTCGAGCTGAATTCACGAAATCCCTCCCTCAGGAGGTTCTAAGCGAACTGGTGGTCACTATGAGCCACCTGAACTCTACACCTGTTATCCAGGTGAAGCCACCGTCTTCTCCATCCTCTGCTCAGCACAAGAATGTCCATTATCTGGAACAAGGAGGCGAGGAGCGAGAAGCAAAAACCATCAAGCATCGGCACTCAGATGGCCTGACGAATCGTACTAAGAAGGGGACTCCGCGTCCATCACAACCACAACCCGCGGTGTCGACCAAGCCTTACAAATCGAGAAAATCTAGTATCAACATCACTGACGGGAGGCAGTTCTCGCCAGATCACAAGTTAAACTTCTGTGCTGACCTCCTTAATCGCATGCTGAGTGGCCCTGGTATGTATACTTCATCCCACATTTATCGTGATTAACTGGCCGAACGTGTTATTTGAATTTTATCCTATACCCAACGCTTGTTATCACTCCGAATCTGCACTTGCTAGTCATGTTCAATCCCCTGTTAAATATCGACTGGTGCGTCCGTCGCTAAGTTGGTATAATTCTATGCTATCCTAGCCTAGCACTATGTCTGCTTGTCTACTATGGCATAGGGTGTCGATTCAACTGATTTAAAGGCTAATATTATCGAAATAGGATTTTGGACTCGACTTGTTGGTCCTTTCAGGGAGCCTGTTAGACCTGTCGAGGATGGCGTGCCGAATTATTTTGACAAGATTAAGAAACCCATGGATCTTGGCACGATCAAGAAGAAGATGGACAGCGGCGAGTACAACACAGCCGAAGAGTTCGAAACCGACGTCAGGCAAATTTTCGAGAATTGTTATACATATTGGGGTCGGGATCACGATATGTCGGCCGCCGCAGAACGATTTCAGAAGTCATTCGAAGAAAAGTTTGCTGAGATGTTCAAGTGGATCAGCAAAAGTGCGGGAGGCTCAGACACTGCATAGCATTTCTGTTCAACTATTACCGTGCGTGCATCTTTGGCCTTTTATGGAAGATCCCCTTCATCTTTCGGCCATTATCGCCTCTCATTCATCTGGAATGCGTGTGTAAAGGATCGACTTTCAACGGATAATAGCCGGGCGTTCAAGGACAAGGCGTTACGGCGAACTGTATATTCTCTCTTTTTCCCTTCGCCTCCTGGCTATTTTTTTTTCTCCCTCTTCGCTTCCATCCGTCTCTTCATGTTGTTGACGCGTATGCGCTTGCTCTGGTTCTCCGTGGGGTATCGCGAAGGTACGAGCGATACATGCCTAATATGTGTAGCATGCACTGGCGTTCTGTATTTCTTCCATCTATTACCTTACTCTTCTGGCTATATCTATATGTTACGGGAGTCGTGCTGGAGCGGGGACAGTGGGCGGTGGTCTCCTTTTCGTGGAGATGAAATAGATGTTATCGTTTGAACACCGGATGCGATTGAATCGACTAATGGGCTGTGTTGGACGTAGGCACGAACGGTAGATAGATTAGGAAGTCAGTCAGTGATAGCGATGCGTTCATTCTAATTGCAATACTTACCCGTTTTCAATTTAACCTTGCGTTTTTTTGAACTTGATACAGGCACTGGAAATCCTGTTCACGCTGATGAGGTAGATAAGCATAGCAAATAGTCTTAGGGGTATTGATCGTGGCTCGTAACTAGTAAGATTCTAGCACAACGACCCTTTCATACTATGACCAGGTCTAATTATACATATGTAGCATTGCTCTGAGGAAGTCCACATCTACATGGTGAAGCGCGCCGTCTATCCAAAACCTGACCGCTATGCTTTCTAAGGAACTATCAACCGATGTGGAATATGTACTGTACTCTGTCGTCTATTTACGAAAAAAACAAGTAACTGGGAAAATCTTCGCCTTGAATACCGCTTTGTATACGTCTGATGCGGCGTCATTATGGGTTAGGCTTCGGTGACGTCGGAGCGGCTGAAATTTGACCGGCGTTCTCCTTCCTTTTCTGTGTGGCGCCTTTGCCAACAATCTTTTCGGTCCAGTTCCATACGGGGCTAGTACTTTGGTCTTGCTCACTGTCCTCACTAGGTTCGGGCTGCTGTTTGTGATTCGCGTGCCGGCCATAAACCATGTCCATATCGAATTCACTCTCGTCTTCACTGTCAGCAAAGTCGCGATCACTCCAGGTGCCCGGATCGACTGTCTCAAGGGGAACCCGCGACGGTGATCCTCTGTAGCTGTGCGATGTCTGCGATTTACTATCCTGAGAAGTTGGCAGGTCTGGTACGGTATCTGTGGCTTCGCGGGCTTCACTTGTAGAGCGCCGATGGGTTGTAGATTGAGACGTAGGGTCTTTATTGCCGGTCACCGTCTGAGTGGAATCTTGAGATCGACTACTACTGTTATCACGAGACTTGGCGGTGTCCTGCTGACCACCTTCTTTCGTTTCGGTGCCGGTCTCATCTGGCCCCTCGTCCAGCGCCTTTGCTTGTTCGGCGTTGCTTTCCAAATTATCCCGAGTACGGGCAGCAGCAGAGTCACTGAAATGGGCATCGACCAAATGTTTCACAACAGGCCACCCAAAAGCATTGGCGAAAGTGCGGCGCACAATAATGTTATTGTGCGCATCGGGTTCTAAGTTGACTAGAACCTTGCGCCAACTAAGATCACGGTGGTAGGCTCTAGCAATTTTCTCTTCGACTTTCATACTCGAGCTGTCAATAACTTCGTCTGGTTCTCTCTCGGGGTCGGTATGTAGACGATCATCATAATCATGAGTAGATAGAGTTGTGTCTTGATGTTTCACGCCAGCATTATGATGTTCTATCGATGAGCTTCCCAAGGTACTTTGGCTCTTGGGTGATAGATTACTGCCACGGGTTGTACTCCTTCTATGAATCATTAGTGTACCGGTTTGTCGTTTCTTTAGTGGTGGCGGGGGAATATCGGACGGATGATAGATTCGGTCATGGAAAATTGTGCGTGGGCGCTTCGATGGATCTAGCAAGAATTCTACAGAGGGTAACTTTGGGTTGAGAAGATCACCTGCTGATTCAAAGAAACTCGTTCGAGGTGGCGCAGTTGTAGTGTTATTCTGGCTGTCGTCCAGTTCCTGACCTGATGAAACCTTTGTTCTACTTGAAGATGCCGAGTTGCTTGCCGCATCATCGAAGTTCAACGTTTGACTACGCTTGTAGATTTTGTTCTCCTTGGGAGATCTTGAGGATGATGAGTTTGAGGCTTGGGTCTTTGATTGATTATGTCCCTTGAAGAGGTTGAAGAACCCGGAAAATGGAGAGTCACTGCTGGCGGTTGTGGTTTGACCTAGCTCCACTTCCATATTCCGTGAAGGTGCAAGGTTCAAGCTGCGTCTATCGTCATCAACGGTAGCGTTGCTAGCTGGCTGAGGTACTTCATGGGAGTTGTCGTGAGGGGTCCCGGGGTTGGAGGGGGGTGTTACCAATGATGATGTCTCTTCTGCATCTGGATTCCAGAGGCCTTTCCGAGATGACATACCGGCGCCGGTTAATTCTGCCCACCCAAATCCGACAACTGTTTCTACCAGACCGGCTTCTCGTCGAGCTTTCTCGACCCGATCAAGACCTTGCCAGTCAAGGAATAGCAGGCAGCTTGTGCGTAGAGGTACGATACCATCATTTACTACATTGGAGTAGACGGTTCGATTACGAAACTTTTTGAGTGCCACATGTGCTGGGCCAGTCGGCAGTATCCTTAGTAGTGGCTTTGATTCTGGTTGCGATTCGCCCATAACCCTCTTATGTGCATTCTCTCCGAGAGTCCCAACAATTGCTCCCCAGCCACTTCTAGCAATAGTTGGTGCTCTCCACGTTAACCCTACATCTTGACCAGTTCTTCCCACCAGGCCAAAGTCTAGCGCAAACTTGACATACAAGGGATTCTCGTTGCTGAGGCCGAGAAATGGCGTAGCGAGAGCGATAAAATTGATGGGCCGTATGAGTTCGAAGAACTGAGGAGAGTGTTTCTGGATATAAGCAACGGCATAGGTCTGAACAAGGCCTCCAAGCGAGTGTCCAATTAAACTGATACTGGTTATTCGAAATGTTCGTTCGTTCTGGTTATGGCGGCTTGTGGTTGAAGTACTATGTGTGAGAGCTGGTTGCCGACTATGATGATCCTTTGCGCTAGTTATTTGATCTGCAGCCTTTTTTGAGGCAGGAAGAAAAGGTTGATCCGGAAAGGTCATCGAAAGGATATAGCGTGCTAAGCGCTTCCCAAGAAACTTGATACCTCGTTCCGTGCGTGTAGCGTTTCCAGAAAAACCTCGAACTATGACTTCTTCGTCAGAATCATCAATCCCGTCCTCATCGTCTACTGGTGGTCCCGATTGACATCCATTTTGATCAATAGTTTGGCTAGCTTTCTCTCGAGCCTTCCTTATCTTGGCGTCGACTTTGGCTTGCCTTGCCGTCGCGTCGATACTTTCCTTCAAGTATAACATATCTGCACCAAGATTACTATGCAATCCGTGCGTCAAAACTACGAGATGGACGTTTTTCGGTCGTTGCGCTTTATTGGAGTCTGCTTCCTGCACGGTGGAATTGGAAAAGCCTTCGACTGTAGTACTGTTTCCTGGGGCCTTGGACTTCCCATGATCGCAGTCATCCCAGCCAGGGAGCTTCGGCGTATTCCATAGACTGGCTGTATCATCCACCTTTAGGTCTATAGCTCTTGAAAAGACGCCTTTCAACTGTACTGGACTGCGCGCCTCTTTGGACTCGGGGCTCTGCTGAAAGTCGCTGACTTTGCCTGGCGGCTGGATGTGCGTCTGGCCCTTGACAACGGCGGTGCCGCCTAAGCTTAGACTCTTCTCGTCACGCGCAAGCAATATCTCGAAACCAACACTGGCGCTGGACGAGAAGATGACCTGGGAAGAAATTTCGACGATCCAGCTCGCACTCCCATCCTCGCCGCCTTCAACTGTACTGTTGGCGAAATCACCTCTAGCTGCACCCATTCCGGCATGCTGGTGGATGTTGTCGGGCACAGTCAACTGGCAGGACCAGGTACCGGCAGCCTTGAGCATGGGCTCAAACTCGGGGATGCCATAGCGACGGGGGTTCTCGAACTTGGTATTCGGATCATAGTGAGAAGGGTAGGCGGACACGCTCAAAGTATAGGGACCATGGACGAAAGCGGCGCGCAGAGGCAGTGGCGAGGTATTCCGAACACGGAGATGGAGGACGTCGGGCGATGGAAGGATGCGATCACGCGAGGGTGTGTAGGAGACGGTATAACGCACAACCTCGCCAATCTTGACGCTGCCTACTTGATGTAGGAGGAGCATGTTGTCAGCGAGCGGTGCGGTTCATTGTTGGCGGGTGTTGGTGAGGCCAAGAGGCAAGCACGTCTATCGAAGTCGAATTACCTTGAATTGAGATCTAAGGTCGGAGGTCTGAGGCAGTAAGGGGAAGGAAAAGAGGTGTAGGATTGTTTTCAGTAATTGAAGAAAACAAGCAGCAGTGCGACGTGATTTGGCGGGCAGGCTGATCCATCCATTCATGCGGGTTCCCCGGTAGGATGAGGATGTGTTGGCGGACAAGAGAGAGGGAAGGGGGGGGGGTTGTTAGCTGGGAGTTGGTCAGCCCGAAGTTCTGGAACCTAGGTATAAAATGACGAAACCATGCGTGTCTTAGCGTGGCTTGCTCGTTATCGATACCTACATGTACTGTAGATACCTAGATACCTTACCTATTGTATTTGTAGGTTCCACGGGAAATCCCAGCCCTGAGCCTGTACTTATTAAGCTTAATTTCAGCTCAGAATACAATAACCCGTCTTCGCTCTAGAGGTAGATAGGTATAGGATCACTTTGGATCTGAGCCGTAAATCATCATCTCCCAGTAAGGTATCTATCTATCTATCTATCTGTACGGGCACATGTCTAGTCGTTAGTATTTCAAACCTCTCACCCTTTGCAAGCACTCGGGCTGGGCTGTCTTATGGTCCATCAACTGTGGATTCGGGGACGTGAAAGAAAAAAGGCGTGAAGCTTTGTGAGCTATCATCGGTCCCCAGATCTTGGAATCAAGACAGCGACTCGCTGTCAAACACATACTTCATCTTTGACTCATCATACGCGGTATATACATGCCAGAACGCCGCCGACGACGTCAATCATGACAACATTGACTCCTCTTGCTCCTCTCACCATTCACATACCGCATAGGGCGAACGCAGGACCTGAAGAGGCTGGGGTGGCATATCATATGCTATGCTATGGCTTTATACCTGAACCTGACATGGCCCGATGCTGTCTCAGCTAAGCTGATGTTGCTGCATGGTTGCCTGCCAGTCTACTGGATTCTGCTGCACTTGGGTCGAGAGGCGAGTAGGGTGCGTTGGCTTGGACCGGGTTGGGGGGCAGGTCAAGTGTCTGCCATCTCACTCGCCGGAGTTTGGAACAATCAGTAGGAGGTACGGTAGTCACGTTGATCACCACCGGCCATATTATCATTTATCATGATTTCACCACCATCATCCACCTACCCATCCGCCGTCAACCATTATCCCACCTCTGCTTTTCTGAACCAATCAAGTACGCATTTACACCATCTTCTAAGCAGCGACGGCCTCTCTTTCGGGGTAGTACTACCTATGTAGTAAGTCAGTTGACAGAGACATGTCTTTCGTTACTACATGTGAGATGATGCAGCTTCCCGAGTGTGTGCAACGCTACAACAGGCACACGGGCACGCACATGCACATACACATACCTACCGTACACATACACGTACACATACTTAGGCATGTGAGAGATCATCTATCGATTGTGCGCCGCCTCCGATCAGTCTTGTCTTGGGTCGGTCAGTGGTGGATTCCCATAATAGATAGATCAGTGCTGGCAAGTCCGGTAGCGGGCTGGTCGGCAACTAGTGTAGGTACTATAGTAGTAGTACCTCCCTCCTGGTAGGATGGAGTGGACATGGGCAAATGCAGATGGATGGATGGATGGAGGATCATGAGGATTGGCATTCTCTAACTGCACACTAGGAAGGGCAAGCTCGGGCAAGTAGGGGTCCATGAGCCAGCCACACACTACAGCACCCATCCTCTCACCCGCCTCTGCCCGCATACTACCTACCTACTACGTAGAGCATGTCTGTAGACACACTAGACATGGAAATGTTGAATGGCAACTTGAGAGGATTCACTCACACCTGCTGTAGTCGGGTGGTGGGAGATAGAGAACAAGGAACGAGAGAAATCGGGGTTGGGCGCTTCACATCTCCAGCTCTGTCCAGCCAACCAAGACAGCATGACGAGCCTTGGACGAGCATGCACGGCGTGTCAGGTCAGGTCAGGCCAGGTCAAGGATCCCAGAGTCAGGGTTGTCAGAGACCTGTCTTTGGTTAGGTTGCATGGAGCGGACCGCACGCACCAGGGCGTGATCTCTCTCTCTCTCTCTCTTCTCTCTCCTGTCTCTCCAGCTCGCTTCATTTCTTCATGGGTACAGTGTACATAGTAAGTAGGTACTTAGGTATGTAGTTAGTGATTTTCCGGTGCTACTCAAGTGCTACCTACGAAGTAAGCTAGGTTAACTATACTTCCTGTGCCTGCTGTACCTACACTATTCAGACTATTGTACAGAGAGGTTGGCGTTGTACCAGTCCTACATACTTAGGTACTTGACTGCCAATGCCCAAGTACTTACCTACCTATGCAATTGCATGATTCTGCTCCCTACTAAACCGGACGCCTCTCATCAAATTGCGTCGTTTTCCTACTTTCTGACAGTTAAGGCCCAGCAAATTGTCTGCCAGCTCCGGCCACCCTTTTGTGTGCATTGCGCTGCCTGATCATTGGTGATCCAATCCGCCTTGGTACGGCCAGCACTGCTCTAATGCAGAGTGCAACCGCTCAATCCAATCAACATCCGAGCCCACGACGTGCAGGTGGCCACTCAGGAGCAACCAGTTGGCTGCCTCTATACTGTATCGGCACGTCTCCTCATCCAACCGAGCGACGGTGCTTTGGGCTTCGCTCCGCACAACTCGCACAACTGGGCTCAACTGGGCTCTGGGGCTGACGCGGTAAAAACAGTCACGGACGAATGGCTTCCTTGCAGGGTGTCGCCGGCAAGCCGTATAGGCATAGACGTCAGACAGCCGCTTCAGAGAACAATGATTGGGAGCGGCCCCGAGGGGAGTCGCGTCATTCGTTGCCTCATCGAACCCGACAGCCTGAAATACAAAGGCCCGACCGCAGGAAGCCGAAATATTCGTCTCAACCATCAAGGCCATCTGAAGACTTGGATTCCCACTCGATGCCTCCACTGCGACTTCTGACTAGGCCGATGACCCCAAAAGCTCGGGGCCGGCGACTGTATGACGACGACGACGACGACGACGATGAGGAGGAGGACGACAGCGATGATGATGATGCTGAAAGTGAGAAGGAACGGTTGAAGGAGCGCATGCGATCGAGATCTAGAGTCACATCACGAGTCACATCACGAGTTACATCAAGAGCCGCATCGAGAGCCAGGTCAAGAGTGAAATCGAGGCCAACTTCCCGAAGTAGCCAGTCATCCGATTCCGTCAACCCAACGCCAACACGGTCATCATACATACATATCCATTCTGTACCCTCTGTGCCCTCCCCTGGGTCATCAGCTGGGAGCTCAAGCGACAACTCGAATGATGAATCGTCTACTTCTACTCACGATTATCGTATGAAGGCTCGAATGAAGGAACGGATGAATGGTACACCAGATTCCGAGCCGATTGCCAACACTCCAAGTCGTAGTCGGTCTAGGCACAAATCCCGGGACAGAATTGTACCCGAGATTGAAAGTGCCACAGAAGATTCGGAAGACCAGGTTATTTCTGTTCATCCTCGTGTCGTCGTTAAGAGATCATCAGCATCTCAACGTAGGCCAGCACATCAATCGAGATCCCCAAGTCGTGCCCCGCCACATCATCGAGGTCTCGAGGTGCGTAGCGAGGCGTACACCAGTTTCGCTCCAAAACGGTATGTAGGCATGATGCTGCTATTCTCGAGCGCCCTTGATGACCAGTTACGTCTCTAGTACTCCTAAAAAGTATTATCATTCGGACGTTTCGTATTCCGGAAAGCTACCATTCTCGCGATCACGAGCAACGTCGGCGTCACGTGTGACATCTTATAGTGTAGGCTCTTCATCAAAGCCGTCACTCGGCAAGTTTTTCCAGACGTCCTCCCTCCCACAGTCTTACGAGATGGACTCCAAGATGTAAGTTGAGCATGACGAGAAGGTTGTCAAAAAATTACAGGAGACTTTCTAACAAGCCTATAGCGGTACGTGCGTAGCATGTAATGATGGCATTTCAACCAAGAAACTAGCGAGGCTTAAGTGTGGGCATCGATGGTGTGACAAATGTTTGAAAAGACGCTTCAAGGTGTCAATCGAAGATGCTCAAAACATGCCTCCGAAGTGCTGCACCGACGATATCATCCCACTCAAGCACGTCAATGACTTGTTTAACGATGATTTTAAAAGGTCCTGGAATGAAAAGTTCGCGAGTTTTCTTAACCGAGATCGGAACTACTGTCCCAGAGCAAAATGCCGAGAATGGATTCGGCCGGCGGATCTTCGCCATCACAACAATGGCCGCACTAGCGCTACCTGCAGGAAATGCCATACTGAGATATGCGGCCTATGCTATAAGAAATGGCACAAATCGAGGCGTTGCCCCGTAGATGCAGATACGGCCCAATTTGAGAGAGTCGCGAAAGAGGCAGGTTGGAAACGCTGTTTCAACTGCCAAGCCATGGTTGAGCTGAAAGAGGGTTGCAACCATATGACTTGGTATGTTCAGCTCATCGTCTATTTGGTCAATGCCCCTGAATCATTTCTAACCAATTACAGCCGTTGTGGTGCTCAGTTTTGCATGATGTGTGGGTCGAAATGGAAAGTCTGTGATTGTCCCTCATTCAGCTATGATTTAAACGAAGAAGACGATTTCGGCCATGTGCAGATACACGTACCCATGGTAAGCCGAGAACGTCTCGGAGGTGCTGACGGTCTCGCTCGCGGTGCACACCTTAGCTACGGGCAAGAACCACGACACTATCGCGGACACCGAAACAGAGGTCGAATTCAGAGACCGTTACAGCGTGATGATAATGATGATTACGATGATGACGAAGACGACGACGACGATGATTATCTTAATGACACTGGCGATGTTATCGATATGGGAAATGGGCCACCCCATTTCTTGAATAACGACTACCGAAGAAGAGCACATAGTGCGGTTGCACCGCCCGTTCCTCCGCCTGCTGTACCGCCGCCACCACCTTCGGTCACGCTTGAACGCCAAAACTCTGGTGCCAATTATGTCTCCGGGGTAAATAAAGCACGAGGTGTGCGGGCCTCTTCAATGGAGAGGCGACTGGCAGATAGGTTTTCAGAACAGCGCCAGAATTCCAACTCCCGTCCTTTTGGTCCACCCATCCCACCTTCCACTGCTCCTCCTATGGGTATGGGCCTTCCACCACTTCGTCCGAACCCCATGGTTCCAAGTCCCATCTCTCGACGCCACACAATGGACGACGACTTGTACGACCTCCCCTTTGATCCCCGGTATGCGTCGCACTCTATACCTCGAAGACACCCACCCCATAACTACATGGACGACTTCGCTGTACACGCACCTATGGGCCGACGACGCTTTCGCCAGATGGAACCACCGAAGCCTTCAGAGCTTGCTGGACTCACAGGACCGGGCAGTGGTATGAACCGAGTATACGAATGGGTGAATCACGTTGACCCATATCCCCCAGACAACCAAACAGTTGCGTGAAACAACAAGCAGCATTTCTTGCTCCTGATAGGCTCGCGTCGACGCACACTCGTTTCACGTTACGCTAAAATAAACGTTCTTTTATGCCGAATTCTCACGAAACCAAGAAATATGACATTGATATCACACATTGAGCACGAAGAAACCTGTACACCTAGATTGAAACCTTGAAATTTGGATGGCATGCCCAATGCCTCGCATTTCCCTTGTTGTAATGATAAGCATTACATCTTCTGCCTCCGTAGCTGTGGGGTTTGGATTAAGGCGGGCTGTATTCCTTCAGTCTTACGTTCATTGGCTTTGATATGGCGTTTTGTAAGGAGGGGGAAACGGTTCGAATATTGCATTGAAGGAAGTCAAGGTGAGAATTCAGTCGTTTCTTTATTTAAGGGAGGGAGAGAGGTTCAAGGATTAAATAAATCAATAAAAAATAAGGTTTGCATTCAGAACAACTATGAGGGCAGAGCATGTTGACTAACTCTGACATTTCCGATACGCACCGCATGCTGATAATGACTACTCAGCGTTACGCCAGAAGCTCTCACACGGCCAACCCCAGCTCTGATCTGAAGCCACCCAACCAGCCAATCAGCTGAGCGATCTGTGACGATGGTTGTACATAAGCTATGATATATATTAACCCTTGATCAGGATGACTAGAGATACGATTTCGCTCTAATGAAATAGGCCGGTCCTCCCCGGAGCACAACACCAGCGATACACTACCGTACCGTATTGCTCACAATAAGTATCTACCTCCGAAGGTAGGTGGTTTTTGAATGAACAATGTTGCAATCGTAGAGAAGAAGAACGCCAGTCTCCTTCTCTACCAATGTGTATAAGTGTAACACCCCCTCCCCCTCGCCCTGAGTAAGTCGTATACATACACTGTATCAATACGCGCAGGCATGTGTGTTATATGCGCGGAACTAATGAGACTCAGCCCTGATGATTAAGATACAAGCTTCTTTGATATCTACTCCATCGTTTCTCTCTCTCTCGCCCAGGACCTGACGATTTATTAGCTCGGTCTAGTATCGATACATAGCCTGCGGTAAGGCCTGCTTCTCTCCATCCTCGTGGCTGGGACGCCGGCCGGCGAGGATATGATGGTTATTGGAGTCGCCTGAACGCGCCGTCTCCGCCGAGTCGTCGTACTCGGGAGGCGACGCCGACGTCTGCCCGAGTTGACATATCGGCGAGACTACTTCGGGCGTTGTGGAGGGCTCGTAACCTTCGTACCCCGGCCGTTGTGGACCTTTGGATTCCCGCTGCTGTTGCTGCGCGTGGTAGAGTGGCTCGGATAGGGGATGTACGAAACCCTCGTGGCCCGAAGTCGCGGATAGCGGGGATACGACAACAGGCGATGTCGGGCTCAAGTCGCGGGATGCCGGGGACGTCGCCGTCGCCTCTGGGTACCGCGGTGGCGGCGGCTGGCCGTCGAGGTCTGACGTTGGGGGTATATCTAGGCCAGAGGGTATGGGAGGAGCGCAGATCTGTAAAGGCGGCGGCAAGGGTGGGCATGCTGGTGCTCGCGCGGATGCTTGCGGGCTCCTCACGGGCGGATAGGTCAGGGGATGGTGAGCTTCGCTATGCGCCGGGTATCGTGCCCCTTGTGCGTCCCTGAATGAAGCGTGACTCGTGGCCGGCGAAGGCCCGTTCGCAGTCCTCTGTGCAGCTGGATATACCCCTGCATGCGCAGACCCTGGGGCTGTCGACATGGAGACGCTGCCGGCTGCGCTGTCAACAACGATATGTCCTAGACCCCGCACATTGCTAGAGGCAGTGATAGGGACTGTGTAGCCTGACAGTGCGTCACTGCTGCTGGCGGGATCATGAGGCCCGCTACGCGGCGTATGAATCCTCAAGTCAACGGTGACGTGGCTTTCGAGATCGGCGTCTTTGGGGAAACCCCCTGTAGGCGAGTGATCTCGTCGTCTTCGTCGAATTATGGCCCAAGATAGAATGAGTAGGAGGAATATTCCGAAGAGCCCGCCGACGACACCAAGTGCTATCTTGACATCGTTGTTATTGTCATCATGGTCATGACTATTGTCGGGATTTGTCTGTTGACCCTGAAGGCCTACGGTGGAAGTGGCACTGCTTGTACTGCTAGAGAGCTGGGATGAAGAGCTGTTGGTAGCGAGAGTAGCGGTAGAACGGGTTATCGACTCGGATGTAGCAGAAGTGGTAGTTATGATGTTGGTAGAGGTTATGCTTTTAGCTATGGAGGTATTCATAGAGGTAGGTTGGGGCCAGTATTGCGATGTCTGGGACGTTTTTGTTGGGGAGTTACTGCTCGTACAGTCGTCGTCGTCGTCATCCTCATCCTCATCATCATCGTCGCCGCACTTATTTCTCCACTTCCTCTTATCATGCCTTTCTACTAACAACTCCTGGGAAGTGAGGCTCGATCCATGGCCCGATGATGTGTCATCTCTAGCTATAACCTCTTGTTGGGTGGCAATCGTCGAGGTCAGTGTGTCCGGCGTGAGGGACTGAGAGTTTAATTGGGGACGCATCGCAATTGAATGCTATGAGAGGGGAGCAAGCTCCTTTCTTCGCCCTTGAGGATTGTTGATAAGCGGTCTTCGTGCTATTATCATTCATGGATGACCATAATACCAAAGTACCCGTACTCCGATTTCCGGATCAGATGGAATGAGTTATAGGTTCTATACTTCGATGGAGAATCGGTTTATAGTGTTTGTTATCAACAAAAAGCATCGTACATACACACAGTTGGAGAATAGAATATCTCATAAGAGACAGATATGTCAAGAATATGGATTAACACTTTAGACACGTGGCGGCAGCAACGGGAATTGAGAGGACAAGGTCACAAGACAAGGCTCTCAGACGAGAATATATTCTATATGTAGTAACAATATCACTCGCAGCTTAGGATGGCAATCACATTAGCTCGCTACTAAAATGCAGACTGCATTTCTGCGCTTCGCCCTTGTCAAGGTTGCGTTGAGCTATTGAAGATGGTGAACGACGTTGGGGGTAGTTGAGATACCATATGGACTACGCAACGCATGGGCGACAAGGAGCCTAGGTGAGACTAAAGTCGGCGCCGTCTCGCATCGCGAGCAGCCACGATGGCCGGGGACTAGGATTGGCGATACAGGGCTGTAGACGGATGAGCCCCTCCTGTGAATGCGTTCGCCTTGAGGCTGGCTCATGTTGCATTCCGCCACCCCGGCCCCTACTTCCTACGGCTCACATGGTAGCACTCGTGACGATGTAACGCCGAATACCACGCAATCTCGTAGCGCTCCCCGTGTCGAATCGGGTGAATATCCCTGGGTCTGGAACACGGGCAAAGTGTCTTTTCTTCTTAGTGTGGGCACTTGCACTGTTTTAGGTTCCATAGCCGTCAATAGCTCAGAGGAAAAGGCTTGGAAGGTGTTGTTGCCGCGAGGTTGCTTTCGTAATCGATTCCCCTCATAAGCTTAGCTACCTACCCCCCTCGATCAGCAAATGCCAAGTTATCCCCCAGCAAGGCTGAGCGCCTCAGTGTGACGGTGCGAGGGTATGGTTGACCCTTTTGGGGAATTTCGCCTATCTCACAGGACTGGCCACAATGAATAAGCCTTTGCTCAGATGTCGACACCAGCGCCACATGACTGTCGGTTTATTGGTGTGTGCTGTGCTACACAGTAAAGTTCCCAGACGACCAGATTTCAGTCTCGAAACAATTAGCGAAAGGAATGGTGTTTCGATCGAACATGTACTACCCCATGTCTTGTAACGAAAACAACAACCCCCAATTCACTTGTCGCATCAACGTTCTTTGCCTGCGATCAAGACCGAGCGTAGAGGGGCATGGCTCGCTCACAGAACATATCCACGGAGGTGACAATCTCATGCGTTAGGGTCAAAGGTTATGTAACATCAATTCTAACCGGGTTGGCTGGGTTCGGGCCTCGTCATCGTATCATTGCTGATAGAGTGGATCGAACATGCAATGAGGCAGGAAAACCTCGTTAAGCCGGCAGATAAATGATGATTTGCTGCTATTTAGGGAGTCGCATCGAAGCCTTATGTATGTGTGGTAACTATCAGCCAGGCCACCTAGTTTGACACAACCAATGGATACAATATATATTTGGCGAAGCCTCGCCCAAGCCTCTCTTGGGGGCCAAAAGTGAGCACAACTGCGCCTGGAACGACATCAGAACTGCGTTCTAGTAACATACTAAGAATAGATATCTACTTAAGCACTCACAGTCTGTTTCGGTCTTGAGAAATTATCTACCTTGCGATGTATGGTTCTTGATAGTCAAGAGTGGCCGTAGCTGGCTGCTGAGTACTCTTTATGTACAGGTTTCAGGCCATGAGCACCTAAGGCCCCATCGGGTACCACTCTAGAGTTTCATTCAGAGAAAGATTACACTATTAGGTATCGAGCATCCAACTGCCCTGAAAGTACTATCAGAGTCACAGTGCGGTCTTTGTCAATCATACAAATACGTGCCAAGCTTGTATGCATCTTGAGAAGGGCCATAATCTCAATTCGTTATCCGAGTAGCTGGTTTCTCAACTAAGCTCACTATCAAAGGGGTATCATTCATCAAACTCTAGTAGACATCGGGTAGCAGAAATAATAAGTGTTGGGCTACGATATATCGTAGATAATCGTTCTGCGTTACATAAACATCAATAAAGGCTGAGAAAAACGACGGCAATCGATGATTTATCGTATTTGGTGTATTTGCCCCTGCCTTTGTCGATCTCGTGGTAGCGGTCCCAGAAGCGGTTATAGAGGGGCTCCAGCATCTGTTGAATGTCTTTGGCGAACATCTGCCGTACCTCTCGCTCCATGCTGTATGATTTATGACGGGCCACCAGCTCATCAAAACTAGTGTTAAATGTCTGAAATTTGGTTTTGATAGCATCTTTGTCTTTGCTACTCAGCGCCTTAACGATCGAGGCAGACTCATTCGAGCCCGAAGGTGGCCGTTGCGTGCGATTGGTATGAATGACGTCGAAAAGGTGTATGGATACTTCTTTGCAGGCGTCGGAATAGAGAGCTTTTGCCTTCTTGCGCCAACTGTCTAGCCCAGAAAGCCGACCTTCTAGAAGGGGTTTCAGGTCGGAATCTCGGATCATCCGCTCAATTATGGTGATGTTATTGGCCAAGAATACCCCCAGTACGGACTTAGCTTTCAAGAGCAGTCTGGCTTTCTGTTCGAGAGCCGACATCAGTAAATCTATCGTATCAGTACAATAATGCGCAAATATCTCTTTCCCGTCTGCACCAATATCGAAAGATGCTAAACTAGGTATCGCATCCGTGCTCGTATTTGACGGAGTAGTTGACTTCCATCCACCATCGCCCAATGAAATCATAATGCTAGAAATTGGGCGCAAGAAGTCGACCATGGTTTGTAGACGTTGCATCGTCTCGGATACCACGGGAATTGGCGAACCATCAGTTGGTAGAGCCTGTATGGAGCTGACCTTGCGCCTCGTATCATCTAACAGCTCAGCCAGCGACATCTTGGCCGTCTCGCGTACTGGTTTAAGCGCTGCGGCTAGGGTCGCTTTCAGTTCGCCTGTCCTGGCGTCGAGGTTGTTGGACAGACTAGACATTATCTCGGTCACCTCGTAAGCTAGGTAACAGTCTGTACTGAGATGAGCCTTAATGTGATTATTTAACTCCCGGAGAGTTCTTGCTAATTCCGCCAAGGGGGCCTGGCAAGTGGTCTGGAAGGCTGGACCCCAGTCCTGCCTCATGAAAATATTACATATGTTCTCATATTCAGCAACGAAGAGTCCCTCAAAAGCCTGAGCATACATTCCGATGCCATTGGTGCCTGACCGATAGATAGCATCGGGGCTCTTCTTCTTGGCCGTGTTGACGCTCGCATAAGCGAGATTCACCAAGGTCTGTGACAAATACGCACCCCGCGCTTCAGAATATATTTTTACTAGCGAATTTTCGGACGAACTGTTGCCCGAAACGTATGAATTCATAAGGCTGAGTTTGGATATCGTGTCTTGGGACAGTAAGGGAAAGGGTCTGTCCTTAGTGATATAATGTAGGGGCTCAATAGATCGCGGTGTTTCAGCTCGAAGCAACTTGTCGAAAGAATTCTCGAGCTGGGTATTTCCGTTCTTGACTAAACGTTGGAGGTCGCTTATCGTTTGTTGGTTGGCGCGTAGATTCGAGGTTTGCATATTCTCGAGGGCTTTATTTAGACGCTTGATCGAGTTGAGGTAATTGGACAAGCCCGCTTTCTCCGGCCCTTGGCGGATGATATTTTCTTCGTCATCCTTGGAATCGGCGGGCTGTCGCAGCTTCTCTATGGATGCTATAACTGCATCAATGTCTTGAAGGGGGTGGCGAAGTTAGCTTGCCAGATTTCCAAGGAAGGAGACTGGATGAAGTCGACATACTGTTGCCTAGGGTTTGGAGTCTTTTGGTCTCGCCGTTGAGGGGGCCCGATACGTCGCGGACGCTCTTGCCGGTGGTCTCCAGCCTAGTTAAACAAGCCTGGATCTTCTTGGTAAGCTGTGTGGTCTTCTCGAGGCGCGAATTCAGCACGTCGACTTCGGCTCGTGCCTCCTCGTCGGCCGTGTGACGGCCGTTGCTCAAGCCAACTGCCATGATTAGTTCTAGCTATATGGCTTGCTAGCGCACGGCGATGATTGCGTAGGACATCAACGAGGGTGTCTGGTCTACTCAAGGATTGAAGGTGGTGAGGATTGCGTGTCGTAGTTTGAGATGGACCAAGTAGGTAAGTACCGACGTAAGTAGTACTATCTCCTAGGTACCTAGGGAGGTACATATTAGTAGACCTGGTTGGCGGGGTTTAGTGGCGGTTTTGGCGTCCACTGAGGTACTTGGTGTCTTAGGTAAGTACCCACTACTTGTTAATGTTCTATAAAAAGTACAGAGCCTCTATGTAGGTATTGAGCTTTATACAGACTACCTACGTATATAGGTATAGAGTCAGGCCATTAATAGTAAACTCCTGTTGTTCTATCATCCTTTCATCGTATCCGGGCGAGTTGTCTTGCATCGTCCTTATGTACTGCTCTCTCCTGTTCTTAGTAGTTCACGATGATCTAGGGGCGAACGTCAGTATCAAGGTTTCTCGAAGCAAAGTAGTCCCCCACGAGTCTTTGCACAGTGGTCGCAATGATCTCAACATCAGCTGGCGATATGTTGTACGGAGGGGAGACGATGATGTGGTCTCCGTTTATACCGTCGGCTGTCCCGGACGAGGGGTATACGGCGATGCAGTAGGGCTTCGTTATTCCCAGCTCGGCTATTCCAAAAGCCACCCCTAAAGAGCTATGAAATGGCTCGTTCGTCGTCTTATTCTTCACGAATTCAATGCCCCAAAATAGACCCTTACCGCGAATATCACCTACATGTGGGTGACTGGCAAGCAGGTCTTTCAGCCTTGCTGATAGTAGTTTACCCATCTTCGACACGTTCTGAACTAGATTTTCTTCGCGTATGATCTTTTGGACTTCGAGTGCGGCGGCACACGTGACTGGATGTGCCTGGTACGTCTGGCCGTGGACAAAGCTCCTATGAACCATCACGTCTGTTAGGCGGGACGAGAGACAGGGCTGTTGTGTCAACACTCACCCGGTACCGGCTTCGAAAGCTTCTATCACTCGTTTGCTCGCCAAAACCCCAGCGATTGGCTGGTAGCCTCCACCTAAGCACTTCCCGAGAGTCTGAATATCAGGCGCAGCGTTGTCGTCTTGTTCCCAAGCATGGTAAGTTCCTGAACGGCCCATTCCGCACATAACTTCGTCGAGGATGAAGAGGGCACCGTGTTTCTCACACACTGCTTTCATCGCTTTCAAATACCCAGGAAGGAAAGGCACACAACCAAGAGCCTGTGATCTCGTCAGATCCATTCTTGTCGCGTTAGTCCGCTGCTATGGCTTTCCACTCACTGCTCCCACAATCGGCTCTGCTACGAATGCGCACACAGTTTCGGCACCAACCCTCAGGAATTCCTTGTCAAGCTCGTCTGCGAGCCTCACCACATAGTCCGAGTCGGATTCTTGCGCACGTTTGTCTCTAAAAGGGAAGCAGCGTGACACTCGAGAAACACAATCGAGGAGCATCGGCTCGAACTTTTCCCGTCGCATAACATGACCACCAAGGGAGAGAGAGCCTAAAGTTATCCCATGATATGAGTGTTCCCGAGCTATGAACCGCATTCGGCTAGGCTCAGGTGGCACTTTTTCAAGATAATACTGTCTTGCTAGCTTCATCGCAGCTTCCATTGCCTCCGAGCCTGTTTTCTCAGTATAGCCATGAGTCAGATCTTGCTGTGACGAGTTGCAATATACGTACCGGAGTTGACTATATATGCACGCTTCATTATGCCATGTGTGGAGGCAACCAGCTCCTGGCAAAGTCTCTCGCATGCTTCTGTCGTGTAAAACACCGTTGAACAATACGATATCTGGTTCAATTGAGCAATGATAGCATTGTGAACTCGCGTATTGCCGTGTCCTATGCACGCAACTGCGGCGCCACCGGAAGCGTCGAAAATCCTACGCCCGTCTTCGAGGATAACATAGCTCCCCTCGCCACCAGTTATTCGAGGAAACTCGCATTTCAAGCTCCTATGCAAGACGGCGGATGTCGATATGGTTGACATGGTGAACGCTAAACGACTGCTCAACACCTTCTTTATACGCGCATGTTTTTTTATCGTGAGGAGAACAGCAAATGATATGCTCCCGTAGGCGATTAGGGGGAGAGGCTGACAATTCAAACGGTGGTCATTAAGGCAGATTCCCTCGTACTCTTTTTAATCATGACATTCATGAAATTTACATGCGAATAGCTACAATATGTTCGCTCGTCAGCCCGCTTTCGGAAAGCCATCGCACAAACAATATCTTTCAAGAGCATGCAATTATGGGGCACATTCCCGATCTCTTCCCGTAAAAGTGATAGGGAAAGTATAGGGAAAGTATAGGGATTGTGCGACCGGCTTTGCTAAAATCCTGTGAGGGAGCGTCACTTTGGGCAACCAAGCCTGTAACCGGTCTGATTTAGAGATCGGTGTGTCCACACAGAGCTTCCCTTGCTGCTTAGTGTCACATTTTGCAACAGGTAGCATACATAGGATAGGATACACAATCCTCGCTATGTAACAGTTATTGTAGTGACAACATCGGGTTTGGGATGCCCATTCCCGAGCCCACCAACGCTAGGACTAGTAGCACCTACACAGTTTCCACTCTTATTAGTCAAGTTGCTGAGAGCGTCGACGAGGGATTAGGTCGAAGGTTTCCTGCTCATTCCTAGGCGGATAGAAAAGTGTAGGTAGTTTTCAAGGGCACTCTCCAGTCACCCTGAGGTCGGCATCAGGAGACCATGTGATTAGGCTCAGGCCTCAGATAAACATGAGGGATTGAACTGGATAGGCTATTATAGAAGCGAGAGGAGCCCAAGCCACGCTATAATCACACTAAGGAATGCAGATGTGTGATGGTAGGCGAGTCACATGCGTTGTGATAGAGTCACATTCCCGAGCCCAAGATTTGGACCCAATTAGACTACAGTGCAGTAGGTGGGGTAGTCAAACCAGACGCAAGGTAACCATCAATGAACAAGTTAGAAGGAACTGAATCTTCACCGAGGCCGTACACGTACGCCTTGGCCCGTACAGAACCTGTACTCTGCATCAGGTGCTCGGACGTACCGCGCTTATGGTCTATGAGTTATACGGAAATGCAGTTGTCGTTTAGCTAGCTGATATTCCCGACAGGCATCAGGACCAAGATTCCGCAGTTATCCCGCCATCCTAGAAGATGAAGCTATGTTTGTGAGTAATGTTTACCCACCGGCTTTGTCAGCCGAAGATAGGCTGTAAGTATGGTGTTTCTCCATGTGATCTACGTCTCCCCCGCATGCCCCGGGCCGGAAGTGCTTACTGGGGGTCCACGCAAGTTCCCGTAGCCCGCAAAAGCACGGAAGATTAACATATGATCCCGGCAATATCTTATCAAGCTACCTATCTCGGACCCTGATACGTAGTACAATGTACAGAATTCCAAGGGTAATAGTCGGCGCGGCTAACTTGGTTCTGCTTGGTGTATGCGCCGCATGGTTTAGGCATCTCGAGCAGACCCTGGTTATGTAAGATCTTCAACTCTACTGTACACTACTAGGGATGCTCATCGGTAAGGTTACATTAGAAATGGCACTACACAATCATATGATTGACTGCATGATAAGGGTTCATTCATTGTGCGTTCGCAACAGAGAGTTTGCTCAGACACAAACGCCTTCCTGTACCCTGCCGAGCCCTTCAATTGGAAAGGGGCGTTTGGTATGAATGATCACTCCTCCTCCACCCCTTAAGGCATTCTATGATGGACCACGCTGCTAGACAATATACTTCAAGATGGGTATCTAAGACATAGCTCGATAGGGTGAGATGATAGATGAAGATATGGGACCACTGCAGACTGGGGTGATTATAGTATGTTGTACCTACGTGAATAGTGAACACAATTATTGCCAATGGCCTTTCAAAGCACGTCAGATCATGTAGCACGTATGACCAGGATTATTCAAATATTTACTTGGGCAATCATGTTAGCAGGCTCTGCAGGCTCAACAGCTTACACTACTGTAGATGCAGTTCGTAGTGGCTCCGACCGTTTCACCAACTACTTTCCCCCCCCCCCCCCCCCCCATTAACCTTGTTAACCCGCATCAGTCGACAACATGAAAGTTGATGAGGGGAAGATGTGCGTATCAGAGTGGAGGCAAAGGGCATAGATTGATTCGCTGAATACGGATAGCAGAATTGTACTCGGACCGATCAGGTAGGAGGCACTTGCTGGAAGGTCGGACTCGCAGTTCCGGCAGTCCGAGTTCATTAGTTAGGTAGCCAGGATTTTTGTGTCGAGCAAATACCGGGGAAGAGGGGCTTATCAAATAGCGGCATTGACATCATCTGAATTGGGGGACCCCATGTTTTACAATGTAGATCAAAGAACATACCCAGTGCTCTGCCCATTGGGTTGACTGATTTTACGAATTGAAAATACCCCGGATTCAAGTAATTCGCGATAACAAATCTAATTGATCTGGAAGTCATAGCTCTTGATAATCTCGCCCATATCCTCAGTAGTATCATTACGGATATTCACTACCAGACTCTCTGCAGGCTCCATATTCGTATTCGGGAAGCTATACCGGGGATTTATTGAATCTAATGACTATCTGCATGTGATATTCTTACTATACACCACTAGATGTGAATAGACGTAACTCTGAAGTCTGAAAGTAAATCCATCTCGAGGACTTCGGGAAGTCTGAATGTATTAAGAGCCATAACGTCTTGAAGGCTTGCAAAATGCTCCCAATAGGTATTATTCGAGGCCGGCTAGGTAAGCTACAACTCATTCTTGCGCTTGATAACTTCCCATGCCCTCATCCGTACGTTTATGTTATTACATAACCCCCGGTCGTCGGCTGTTGTGGCATGTCGCGTAAAATAACCTTATTCCTCACCTCGTATCCTTCTATGGCCAAGCTTAGATCCAAGACTTGATTGTCCCAAGTTAAATGCGGAGTCTATCTTCTGATTGGCTGTAAGTCTCTTGGCAGGTCACAGCGGCGGGATCGGCGTGAACCATATCCGATAGTATTACGTGAGCGGAGAACGACATACTTAACTCCGTGGTAACTGACTTTGAGCGAAAAGTCTCTCAAGTGGCTATCTCCAATTTCGTAGTTTTTACTTGTCTACTAGTATGGAACTATACGCTAGCTTGTGTTATTGATTCTCAGCGTTTCATATGTTCCGTTGTAACAGTTGCCTTCAAAAACTCGTCAACTGAATGAGCATAGACATGTGCAGTTTCGAATTGCCCGTCTAACCTGGACTTTGGAAATTATAGGAAGTAGTATTTAGTCAAGCAGTGTCTTTTCTCTAAATCATGTGTAAATAGCATGTAATATTGCGCAGAATTCGGATATATTAAAACTACTGGCACACTCATAGGCCGCTTACAAAGATGCTGGGGCTATGGAGGTGTGGCACCATATGCGCTCAGATAGTTCAAGAGACCCGGTGCGGCTTATGAAATGAGATGATACCTTCAGACTTCACTGAGTATTAAGTGCATAATGATTGTTGAGCAACACCATGCTTTATTCATTTCAGGCGGTGTTAACTCATATTCTATGTTGAGGAGACTGGAAGGCGACTTGCGCCATCGTACATATCCAGAATCCATCTTCTCCCTAGAAAATATCTAGTCCAGATCTTGGCGGAGAATAGCAGCACGACACAAGTAAGCTTCCCATTGCCATGTACTTCCATCATATAGTTGGGCGAGTTCTTTGACCGAGCTACTCCAGTGATTTCATTTACCATGGGAGAGCAACAGATATCGCGTTGGTACCACGATACCGGGTCTAAACACTCAGGTGATCAGAACGACGCATCCTGACCACGGGAAGGGGCATCCTTCCAGATCGATACCAAAGGACGCCTTGCTCGTCAACCGCTTTCCTCCTTGCTATCTCGGCAGCATCGTCGCCCTTGCCACTACCGTACACGTTCTACTATACGTTAGCCAACATATTTTTCCTGGATGAATAGGAAGTCACGAAATCTTACAGCCTTGAGAGTTTTCTCTGCGTCTGGCTCAACCCATTGGCACTGGGTGAATGCGTTCCAGAGCGCACCCCAATAAGACGTTTTATCGCTATGGTAATACTCGCCAAGGAGCGGCTTCATAGCGTCTGTAGCCTCCTGGGCATGATAGTGCGGAACACGGCTGAGAACAAGTGTTAGAAGGTGGCATTTTTCTCAACTTGCTAGGTTGGTGACTTACGGGAACAAATGATGAACCACGTGCAGGTCAATGATGTGATGTGTCACTAGAAAAACTAGTATTAGTCATTGCCTTTGCGAAGGTGGTTCAAGAGGGTGTTTATGCTCTGGAATATTTGGATTCCCGGCCCGGAGAATGCCGAGACTCTATAAATAGTTGAGGGATGCCAGAGAGATGAAGCGCAAATTCACTTACTGTGCCTCATGATGAAACCAGGGTCTCTGTCCACAGTTGCTAGCGCACCACGCAAGTAGGTCCAGCTCTCCGGCGTGTATTTAGGGAGCGAGGTGTGGGTATGGTGAAGGTAGGTAATCATGACAATCCAGTGGTTCACCCACATCAGAGGAAGGATGTAGGTCCAAAGCATGGTGGTGAATCCATAGACTTTGCCCAAGTTGTATACTAATCCCATCATGGCTAATAGACCAACATCGGATAAAAGAATGTCCCAGAACTCGTCGGTGCGGAATAGAGAGCTGTTAGGCATGAAGTGGCTGTTATCCCACCATCCACGCGACTTTTTGGGTGACTATGATATCAGGCTTTGTTAGCTGGTGTTCTCGGCTTTGCGGCAAGGGGCCTCGGAGATATGTCAGTATCAGGATCGGCAAGGCATCTGGACTCACTACGAGGAAGTTAGTACTAAACTCAAGGTACAAATTGTCAGGGGCTCTGAGAGGTAGGGGTACTCACCACTGTCGGGGCCGGCTGTTATGTGCGAGAGCAAGTACCAGTGCCAGCCGATGACTTGCTGCAGGACAATGCGCCAGAACACGACTAACGGCGCGTCTTCGAAATTGTCATGCATATCATGGTCATGCTCGCCATGGCTCTTTTCTTTGACTACCTTTTCGGGGTGAGATCTCCCGCCGAACATTGTGCGGTATTCCTCACGCGACGGGGGCACTGTGTGTGCAATCATGTGTTAGTCGAAATGGCTAGTTGAACATAACAGTGTCCAAGGAGGGGCGGCTGTATCAATGCAGATGAACTGTATTCTTCATGATGGACTAGGTGAGGCAGTATTAAAAGGGAGATCCGTTGGACACCTCGATACGTACCGTAGTTGAGGTCAATAGATACATTATTGGCGAATTGGTGGTGTCTCGCGTGGCTAGACCGCCACGCAAAGTAAGGGGACATCAGGGCCGAGTGAATAAGGAAGCCTACGGTATCAGCTACCGTCTTGTTGGTCGAGAAGGCGCCGTGGCCAGCTTCGTGAGCAAGGACCCAAAGCCCCGTCATAGCAATGCCGGCAGCATAAGGGTACGCCACGTAACGAGTGAACGTGCTGACATAGGGGTTGGAGTTCTTGTCGACCCAGAAAGCACCATAAAGCAGTCCTACGAAGACGGCTGCATCACGAACAACAAAGCTCAGTGACCGCAGTGTTGAGGGTTTTAAACAATGCGCCGGGATCTGGTCCCGGAGCGTTTTGATATCTAGTTTGACATCGCCAGGTGTAGTAATCTCCTGTAGATGTGTGAGCCATCGATTTCATCGCATACATAGTTCATTTTTCAGGGGGGAGCTTACGCCACCAGTGACGACTGTAAATTCAAACGTTAGTAACAATGCTTTCAACTACGGTATGAAGTTATTTTGAGCGCTCGGTACACTTACCTTCACCATGAATTGTCTCTGTAACGTAACTCATGTCTACCGCAAGAATGAGTATCAATCTTGATCGTAGTCAAAAGAAAGATAGTATATGGAATCTAATTTCCAGCTGTAGGATGAACTAGAGCGGTATACAGCTCGACTTATATAACAAAAAGATATCGGACAAAGAACCGGCGCTCCATAAAGAAAGTCTCGTAGATAACCAGCGAGATAGCGTAGCAGATACCGGATAATTGTGACCGCAGATACCGGATAATTGTAACCGCATCATTATTGCACGAGCTTACTCAGTGCATATCAAACAGGTCATCTGCAACATCAATCCGCAGTTGCAGATGCTATAGCCAGGGTCCAGATCCTCCTCTGCTATACTCCGCTCAAGATACGAATAAGAGCCTGGATATTCCCCATCTGCACTTCATGTCTATCACAGAAGGTGGAAAGTCGGTCCTCTTTTGGGCTGATCCACGCAAGATAGACAACCACCGTTACGCACTGCGACGTTGCAGGTAAACTTCCTAGTATGCATGGTCTCAAGAGTTGCGATTTTTGCGGGGATAGTAAAACGAACGGACGAATACTAATCACTGCCACTCTTCACCATCATTTAGACATCTGGGGTTCGATGCCGTCAGCAGCCGTTGTATATACGAACACAACATATAACATGTTGTAGGGTATCGTCGCCTTCGAGTAGCAGGGACCGTAGCATCGTCGATCGCATGGTTGATCACCCTTTGAAGAGCTCGTAGCTCCGAAACAGACCCGCTGCCTCTATGCTAGATAGTGGGACACAAGTCGTTGTCGTCGTCGCCGTCCGAGTCCACTGTGGCGTCAGCGACCTTCATCTAAACCTCTTCAGGGTAATTGAGGGTCGTCGAAACCGGCCATGGGCTGAGAGGTGCATGTCTATAGTCTGAGGGGATTCCCACTTTCTTGCGAAGCCGCGCCAGCATATGGTATATCAATAGCCTATCGGTTTTGCACACGGTTCCGGCAGCTAACGTAAGCGGGTGAGTTCAATTTGGGGAGTTGTCGTGCTGTGCCTCATTGATGCCTTACGCGCCGACCAATCATATCTCCGCCGATTGACGATAGTAGTGTTACTTCTAACGCGCAATGCAACCCCAACCCAGAACCGTAGGAACATGCAGCATAAGCAAAGGTGACCCCTCTTCTTCAAGATGCATGCTTTGCCCCCCCGGGCCGTATGACATGCATCAAAAATCATAGGAGCCGAAGTATGAAACTCCTAGCTTGCTGTTTATAGTGCTGACTCGTGTGTTAGTACTCCTCATCTGGGCCCCAATCCACCAATGATGCGTTCTTCCCTTTACTTTCCATTATACACTCCAGTTTATCCTCATTTGTTACCCAACCTTGGCGTTTTTGAATGATGGCGTACTTGACTAGTGATCTTGGTCAGCACGTTTCCTGCATCTGCCTTTCGCTCGAACAAGAGACACATGTATGGGGTGGGCTTTGCCCTCAAACACCAAGAACGTAGTAATTGCAAGTGAGAATCTGCACTCACTTGGGTCCCTCCACTCATCCCACCAGACCTTCTCACTCTGGACAATGCATTTTCGTCCGTGCTCGCCATTCCTTGCATTCGCGAATGGCCATACTGCTTTCACTACCTCATATTTAGCTTTGCCGGAGAAGAGTGTCGTGACGCTCGTAAAGAATTTGTTAACTTTATCAGGGTTTTGGACAATCGCTCGAGCGTGTGTCACAGGAAATTGGACCGTGACGTTTCCTTTGTAATTGACGGAAGCTATTAAGCTGCGAACCTGACCCTCAAGCCAGTTGTGGTCGAGATTTGCCACCACTCGTTCAAGAGTAAATATCTTGACAGATGATTGGTCTTTAACAAATCGTTGACACCAGGCCTCAAGACCCTCCTCCTCCCCAGCGCCGATTTCCGGTTTCAAGGACGGTTCATTACCTCCACGGTAAGCCATCTCGTCTTTGGCCACGCAGCGAAGATAGTCCATGCGATGGCGAGGATCATCAGGGACAAGGAGGTTCATGAGATTAAGTCGTACGTGAAAATCGACTCTTCTCCCTCGAGAGCCACGGATGTGAATCTGGGGTTTGGGAGGTACTGTAGCTAGCGTTCTGACCAGGGATGATAAGGCCTTGGCGTTTTCGGACAGATAGGATGCCTTGCTAGTGATGGTGGTGCTGTCGGTAGACAGCTCGAACATTTCAGGTGAGTATTGCCGGTAATCTAAGATCGGAAGCCCCGGATAGTGCTGAGGTCCTTTCGTTACTGTTGGCCGCCGAGGATCTGCAGCACTGTTCGAAGGGCCCGAGTACGGCGGTGGCTCACGCGGACGCGCCAATGTATCCGATGGATGTTCCGCGAATCTCTGGCTGCTCGGTCCAGCTCCATTGTTCCCCGGGCGGTGGGCTTGTTCCGCTTTCTCGGAGATGACAACGCTTTGCTGGTCCATGTCCTTGGTGTAAGGTTAACCAGTACTATTTCGCCAAATGCTTCTAAAGAAGAAGAATAGAGAGAGTGTGTGTGTGAATTGCCTATACTAGGTTTACGTCTTCGAACAGCCAAGCACCACTGTCGGAATCGATATCCTCACAAGGAGCGATTATCACGATCTTTAGCTGGATGAGAATATGGTAGCCTAGGGCTGAGTGCAAGACTCCATCGGGATCTCCACTTACTGTATGCGCGCACTAGCCTAGGTAGGTTGGGAACATGTCACCAGCAATTCGCTGAGACCCTAAGTATCTAGTGTACATAGTCAGAATAGTAGTGGAAAGACTGTTGGTGAGTAATGGTGGCGCAGCAGGGCTGAGAGAGAACCCATGCTGTTGGCGCAGCCACAAGCAGCCCCAAAGCTATCTCGATGAGAGAGGGTAAGCAGTGAGGCCTCCCCAGCCTCCTCAGTACGACAATCGTACCTCAAGAGGAGAATGCATGTATAGATCAGGGAATCCGGCTTGAAGTAAGGCTTGAGTGGGTGATTTACCTCGTGCATCGTCTGTACTTATTGTCCCTGATTGTCCGACTCTCGAATCAGTTGGTAGTTTTCAAGAGCGCTCCGAAATTTGGGATAAAGGGCAAGATGTGTGATTGATAAGACCGATGGACGTATTTTAACAAGAACCTCGGCTTTGGAGAATATATCGGGATTACTGATCATCTAGGTATTGGGGTTTCTGGGAATAGGACGGGAATAGGATGTCGTAAGACTTGGTTGAATCACGACGCTTACACGAAGCGAGGCTGTCTTCGAGAACTGCTTATTACTCGTACTAGATATTTGTTCTGGGACTTCCATAGGATAGCCTCACGGAGCTGTATGGCACAATAAGCTATTCGCAGCGAGAGGCTGACAGTGTCAATTGATGATTTCACTCTTTTGCAAACTTGTCAAGCTTTGACTCCGAATTACAATTAGAATGTCGTAAGAGGATGACTTAGTTTAAGAAATCTCAGTATCCAAAGGCGATCACCGCCATGGCATATCGTAGGTAGCTATAAGTACTTAGCAAAGGAATTACTTTATGATCATGACGCGTGGGTTTAGACCATCGATAACAATTGTAATGTCCTGTTTTTTTTTGTATCATCGTCTACAACTTTCTCCAGGTTATACGCCACCAGATCGCACGACCATTGATATGATATTAATGGTACTAAAAGAGGATCGATTGTAACTCGGAAAGCAAAGTGCTATCGTTGAATGAATCGACTCGGGATGCGGCCGTGTCTTGATTTGGCTCATAAGGATTACCTACTTACCTATTGAGTGGGGCTGGCATTGGGGGATGGGCTGCTGCCAGCGCCGACCTCAACGCCACTTGCCTACCAACCACAATTGAGAAGAGTCGTAGCAGAAGCTTCAAATTCATGCTTCAGACCGTTTCCCACGAAAGTAGAAAGCGGGAAGTTCACTGAAGGTAGTCTTAGGAAGAAACCAGCCGGGAGAGAAGACACAGTCAAGAAATATGCCGCCCCCAGACCCGACTCCGTCGGCCATGGGATCCTCCCTCGCGATTCCCGAAGCAGACCGTCTCCTAACTACTTTCACACACTTTCTCACAGTAAGCATCCACAACATCCTGTACTATAGGGAACTCTATCCTCGCGCCACTTTCCTCACAAGCCGCGCCTACAACCTCCCCGTGCACCAGTCGAGGCACCCGGCAGTATGTTCCTGGATCCGCGATGCAGTAGACGCCGCGCGTGCCCAGCTCGCCCTCGGCGCTGTTAAGCGCCTTGCCGTCGTGATCTACGACGCAGGTGGCGCAGTGATGGAGCGCTGGATGTTCGATGTCGCGCAATTTCCTACCTGGAAGAGCGTGCCTCTGGAAGGCGGTCTCCAAGAAAACGAGGGTGTCAAAGGCGGTGGGGAGGACGACGAGGATGATGATGAGGAGGAAGAGGAAGAAGACGACGACGAAGAGGAAGAGGATGATGATGATGACGACGATGACGATGACGACGACGGCGACGAGAAGGTCGACGAAGATGATGAACTCGGTGCTAGCGTTGTGGCTACCGACGCTAAAGTGAACGACGAACAACAAGAACAACAGCAACAGGAACAACAGCAACAGGAACAACAGCAACAGGAACAACAGCAACAGGAACAACAGCAACAGGAACAACAGCAACAGGAACAACAGCAACAGGAGCAACAGCAACAGAAGCAGCAGCAGCAGCAGTCAGATATCAACTGGACGAATGTCGACGAGCAGCTACGCGCCGCCATCAGACAACTAGCCTACGCAGGTGAGAAGCTGGCGCCTCTTCCCAAAAGCTGCACCTTCACCGTGGCCATTGAGCTACGGAACGAGGCCGAGGCGCCGATAGGGGTAGGTGATGATCACATGATTGAAACACAGCAACCCCCAACGTTTCCACGCCAGCCGGAAACCTAAGGGTCTACGTGGAAGTAGAAGACCAAGAAGAGAAGCAGCAGCAGCAGGAAGACAAGAATAAATGGCTAACGTTGACTCTAGCATCCGCAACCATGGGTACCAACCAAGCCCAGCCTGCAGCCAGCATCCAGGGACCAAAAGGCCGTCGGCGAAGATGTAGGCGGCGCTAGGACGACTGCTGTACGTGCTGTGGAAGCTGGGCTATTATTCTTCGAATGCTGGGTCGAAGAGGGTAAATCTAAGCTAGATATACCGTCTATCATGTTATCCAAGGGGTGAATTAAACGTGAAAGCTAGGCATCTAAGCCAGCCCAACTCTCCAGGTAAGGAGGAGGCTAAACAAGGAAGTAGAAAAAGAGGCATCGTACACAGAAACAGTAAGTGGAACGGTAACACTTTTGACGCAATCTTGCTTTATTCCTAATGCTACATACGTTTTCACATCCTGACTGATAAGACATTATAGAAACGTATTCGCGCCTTCGGTTGGAACTGGCACAGTCATACGCCATTACCACCAACCAAGAGATGTCAGGTGATATCTGACATTCCGCTCTCGTGGTCTTCTTTACTGTACCGGTGAAATGCTAGTTCAAAAACACCGAACTCTTCATTTTTTCACTCGGTCACTAAATTATGTCTCCTCCATCAAATCCTCCTCCAAATTGGCGATGGCCAAACGAAGGATTTCCACTCCCAGGACGTCCACCTCCCCATCTGGGATGACCACCGGGTCCGATCGGATCATAACGTGCCCCTGGCGGCACTTGCTCATCAAATCCAAGGCTGCCGCCACCAATGCCAGGTTGGCGACCCCATCCCCCAAGATCGGGAATCGAAGGATACATGCCTCTTGCCTCTCCCACCCCACCAGGCATCCCTCTTCCTGGACGCAGCGGATCAGTTGGTCCGATAGCAGGTGGGTTTAGATCATCTGCTCCGATGTCTCCAAACGGCCTATAGCCAGGCGCAAAGTGTGATGGCGGTCCTGGGGGGCGATTGATGTCATAAGGATCTTCAAAGTCTGGTGGTGGAAAATCTCCATGCGGAACCGGCGGTCGTTGAGGGATCGCGCTGAGAGGATCATCGAAGGGATGTGGCTTGGCCGGCTCGGGCATAAGGTCTGGCGTCACTGGTCGTCTGGGTGGTCTGCGGGCTGCTTCTCTAACATCCTCGGCTACAGCCGCATCATCGGGGGAGACCTCGTCTCCTGACTCCCGGAGACTGCTCTTTCGCAACACAGGGAGAAGTTCCTGGATTATGTTTTTGGCAATTAGGTACGCGAGCTCTTTTATGCTACTTTCCGAGACGAACAGATTCTGGAGCTTGTCTACTAAGTCGGAACGATCTTCTGTGCCGTTCTGCCTCATAGTAATCCGAACGGGGAGGGTTGAATTTGAAATGAAGTCCCTTATTGTAATCTCGGAACGCGCAATACGGTCATCTTGTAACGCGAGCCCACGAATGTCGGCTTTTCCGCCCATGCGATCAATCTTGATGACAAAACGGAGCGTGGACTCCTGATGTGTGTAGACGAATGAATACGTGTTGAAGGATGCATTCCAGTTTGAGGGAAGGCGCGGAGCAAGCTCGTGGCATTCTGCTTCTACGTCGAATTAGATGGTGAACAAAGAGAGACTACATTGTGTTCCTAGATAACTTACCGCGTGTCTTTTCCTCATCGAAGCCGAGTAGGCGGAAGCCACTAGATGCCATACAAGCATGCGTGAACAGAGCCAGGGCCTCGTGGGAGCTGCAGAGATCCGATGTTGGATCTTGTGGTTCATGAGTGGATAATGCGTCAGCCATCGACTGCAGGACGGCCGACGGGCGGCACCAATCGGCAGACATAGCTGTCAGTGACAAGAAGGATTGGCTGAGTGAATGGTTATCGCGTCCTCGGCAGTGACAAGAAAGTTAGAGGACTGTTGATGAGTGCAGCAAATATACTTGGGTTATTACTAGGTAGGTAGATAGATAGATGGAGAGAGCAGAGAGTGTAAGGATGTTGAGACCTCAGTGGCGGATCGTCCAGCACTCGCTTTGTCTACTGGTATGGATATCCTGGGTATCTAGGTAGGTCTTGGTATGTCATCATCAGACTGCTGCCTTCCCGTTCTCAGATTGCTTCTAGGTCCTACTGGCGTTCTCAGTGAGTACTTAACGGTACATAAGGTAATGATGATGGAGGCAAAGTCTACTTGCCGAATATCCAGTACATGCAGGTAGCTCCTAGTAAGTATTCAAGTACTTGTTCCTGGCTCTAACCGGGGTTGCAATGTAAGTAAATGTAGGTACTATGGAATAGAAACATGCGGAGGGCGGGGTAGCTTTATCTTATCGTAGCTTTCCTTCAACATACCTACCTCCTATTGTAGTAGCATAGGTACCCATCAAAGAACTTCAAGCTGGTCGTTTTTATCTTGCTAACAAAGATAACTTTTGAGATTGGTTACCTACTAATAGCTTGTGTATACTAGATTATAGGTACTTGGTTAAGTTCAAACCTTAGGGCACTGGGCAGTTTGCTACAAGCTACCTAGTTATACCCTCAGCAACTATTTCTTTGTGCTTAACTTACTTAGTTGGGCCTAACAAAGTCCAACAATGGGGCCAACCGCTCCCATTTCCCCAGATCCTTGTTGAACAGCGTTAAGCCATACGCTAAATGTACGAAAACTTCAAAGTTAATAGTCTCCTCCTGCAAACACCTGGGCCAGGGGATAAGCACCTGGGTACATATATAGGTGCTACCTACCTTATACTTTGTAGTCTCATGTTGGAGCGCACTATTGATGAGGCCTGTAAGATGAGCTTAGTTTATTTGATGTTTTGATATGCCTTGATTGCTATTAAGTAGTAACAAGATTGGTGTTAACTGATTTTCATAGCTGACATCTACTCACTCTATTATCCTACTTCATATTTATATAATCATGGGTGAATATATATACATACACTTTTCCTTTTATGAGATTTTTCAATATGTTCATTTATAGAATACATAATAAATCAAATGCGAGCAACAGCTAGCTAGTACAGCTTAGCACCACCCTCCTCCTCATCATCGCTGTCTCCACCATCACACAATTTCATGTCCTGGTCTGGCGAATCTTCGGGCCACAGCTGACCTCCTTCAAATTGTTCACAGGCTTCTGCATTAGTATTCTCAAAGTTGGGGTAAACTTCACAAAAAATGCAGTATTCCTCTTCAATGCTGTTGTAGTGGGACCAGTCAATTCCAGTTTCACAGGCTCCACGCTGATTATTTCTACCTGCTTGGTGACATATGTATCCCTCGACTGCATCTTGAATTTTGAAAAGGACGCTCTCGCACTGGCAACACCGGTATATATGAATAATGCCTGTGCACATCTTGGGGATTATGAGTAAGGTCGAATTGGCAATAGGGATGGCACCACGAATTTTGACCAGCGTTGAAAGTCTGAAGAACCTGCTCCAGTCGTCTGTTGCTAGAAGCGAGGAGCAAAAGCACAAGGCGTCCGAGTCAAGAGAAATGAAGAAGAGGGAGACAGAAAGCCCCAGTCAAATAGCGTAGTTGATGGTGAATGCTCTCGCAGAAGTAACGCTGTATTTCAATGGCGCTGTTCTGCACGCATTTTAACGAGCTAGACAAGATGATTGTGTTCCACTTCATTTGATATTGTCTTTATGCAAACGCCTTCACTGACTAGTCAACGTCCCGGGTTCAAAGAAATGTACAAAGAGTCAAACAATGCAATCCATAAGTGAAAACAAGGCCGCGATAAGTGTCTTTGTAGGTAAATTGACATACAACAGATACGACACTACCACACCCGCAACAAGAGATGTAGAGCCAAGATGTGTACAGAACCTCGTCACAGCGTGGAGTCTAGGCCAGAAAACCCGTTATGTATCGGTACAATCAATCCTAACAAACAAACCATGAAAAGCCCCGTAGAATTGACAATCCATTTAGATCAAACATAGCTTCGAATCAAGTAACAAGAGCCCCAAACGCCCATTCATGCCATTATCACTCAGCGTGCTTTATTGGGTATCCTTCGAAAACCAGAAACAAAACAAACATCAAGCAGAGAAAATGTTGCTACCATAAAAAAGGCTTCCGAATCTATATCTCACTTGCTGGAAGGACTCGTGTATCTTCGTAGAATGCGCCTAAAAGAGGAACGTTGCTTTTCGCTGAGTGAAACGCCCAGATGGCCGAGTAAAAGTCTAGGACCAAGGTCATTAACCACCGTGGTCATGTAACCTGTATATGCGAGCTTGCGTGATTGAAAGGAACACAACATGATTTTCTGTGAAGAGCAAAGAAGGACCGGTCACGACTAGGCGTATCCACCTAGACGATCTACGCCAAAAGTCTAGGGAAAAGGCAACTTGACTAAATGGCTTGCGTAATAGCCCCTTGGAAGGCAGCGCTCGTCGTGATAGGCATTTTGTAACGTTAGAGAAAACATCACCAACGGCGCCTGAATTAAGTAAGTAACAAGCCAACTGAAGCCTGATTGAGAGAGACTTACTGATATGCTGCGTGTAGCTTAGCCGGTTGTTGTCGCTGACGTTTTACAGCACCGGTTTGACGTATCGATGATTCTTGACCTGAGTCACTATCGCTAGAATAAGGCTGCATGCCAAGTAGTTCCCGTTCAGTTGGCGTTAATGGAGAACCCGTCGAGCTACGCCTGCTGGAGGGTTGACTAGGATTACTCCTAGAACTATGTCTACTAGGAGGTCTGCTGAAATCATCATGATGGGAGCTTCGTGTGCTGGGCGCACGTGATGGAGAGTCGGATATATAGCCAGCCTGGTGTGCTGAGGTTACAGCATCTGGTGTAGATGACCGACGTGTGTCGCCTTTAGACACCACCTCTTGAGCACCAATTTGATAATCGTGTAATGAGGCCAAGCCAGAATGCCGAAAATTGCGCTGCTTGTGATGGTAGTCTTCTTCCCAGGAAGGAGTGGCAGTCTTGTTTGTAGTCGTGGGTTCTTCATCATCGCTCTCACATACTTCGCCTGGTTCGGGAGAATATATCCTTGGCTTCTTCGGAAGAGATGCAATCTCTTCTTTGACATCTCGGTAATTTGCCTTGTCCCATCCGCTGTTTGTCGGGCCCATTTGTTGGTAGCTACGCTGATCTTCACCCTGCGAAGAGTTCTGGCCAGATTGCTGGGGATATCGGGCTTGGCGGCCTCTTCGAGTTCTCGGAATGGACGATTTCTCACGTTGTTTGCCGCTAGCTCCGCTGCTTATCCCATGTCGATTTTGCTTGTTGTACACCGAGCTTGAGTTGAAGGCTCTTTCATAATCCCACAACTTGTCGATTCGGACATCTGTAGGGGCTAAGAAGGCTGGGTGAAATTGCGCTATTTGCCATTCCTTGGTTTCGCGGACGCTTAACGCAAAGTCATCCACATTCGTAGAATTGATATATTTTGAGGTTATTGTCTCTTTGTCGTATTTCGGAGGCATTATAGGTTCGTCTGTCCATTCAGCCGGCAAAGGTTCTTTGATGAGATCTTTCGTGATTTTGACGGGCGGTTCCTTGAAAATTGCTTCTTCCGCCCAACTGAAATCGTCTATACTGTGGTTCTCCAGGTTCTTGATATCTACAGGCACAGTTTCGTTAAATTCTTTTTCAGGCTTGCTATCTTCCAGGGAAGTTGAATTTGTCGCTGACTTGGCTGGTGGAACGAAACCTGACGGACTGGCAAGTCTAGCCGGCTGATCTGGAAACCGACGCTCGGAGCGGCTGCGGCCCTTAGGTGAGTCCCCACGCCTACGGCGACCATAGCGTTCACGATTATGCCGATTGTCACCAGAACGACGCTCACGGTGTTGTGTGCGGTGATCTCGTCTCTGTCGCTCGTACGAGGGATGGTCGGTAAAGTGATCGTCGTAGCGGGTATGGTAGCGGGACATATCTGTGGGTGGATACTGGTGAGACTGATAGGAGTGATTTCCTTCAGGCGGTGGTTCATGACCAGGGATATATGGATGAACTTGAGAAATACCATCATATCCATGCTGCGGTGGATTCCTGAGGACATTTGGAGGGGGCGGGGGATATGGCTGCTGGGGGCCGGAGAAATAACTCTCCACACCAGGGGCAGGTGGATAATGCTCGAAGTGCGCTGGATGGGGAGGGTGATGAACAGCGCCATAAGGAAGTCCCGAAGATGGCCTAGGATATTGCTCATCGTATCGGTCAGGAGGAGCTGAATAAGGACGACTATAAGGAAGAGCCTCAGGGCGGTGCTGGTCATACCGATCGAAGTGAGGCGGCCGATATGACGTCTCAGGCGGTGGTGCTCGAGGAGGTCCCTGAAAGTTTTGCTCTAGTACGTCTCGAGAATTGCTTCGAGGAGCCCCCCGGGATGTACTCCGCCCCGAACCAGGAGGTACGTACTGATCGTAGTGCCCTAGAGGAGGGGATTGATAATATGGCTGACTAGTGGGAGGACCCGGTAGTGGACTGGAATGAACTGCTTCATAACCTGGACGAGGGCTATATGATATTGGCGGAGGGGGTATATGTGGTAAATTTGGAGGAGGAGGAGGAGGGTAATGAGTGACAACAGGCCGCTTGCTGCGCTTTGTTGGTGCATGATAATCATTACCTGAAGCTTGCCGCTTCCGTGAGGCTTCTAGACCACTGAGCAATCATCAATAGACTGTTCGAAATTGGTGAAACATGCCAAAGAGTGGTATCTTGGGATGAGTTGTCTGTTTATAGCACAGAAGAGGTATGGTACATTAGAAAGGGAATACTTACGCAGGTACAGGCCTAGTGTCCTCTGGGCAAGCGAAAAATATGTGCCCTTTTGTACCGCAATTATAGCACACGACATCTTCGGCGGCCTGCTCAAAGCCAGGCGGTCGATTTGCCATCTCGTGATGGTAACCTGAGATTTCCTTCTTCCTCTCGCCTGGAACGGTGAGACCCCAGAGAATCTAGTGGAGGTCTTTGCGATGACTTCGTATCAAAACAGTGCTAAAACGAGATAAGTGAGTCAAGGTTTCTAACCTAGAAAGACAAACTAGATGGCAGAATGTAAAGACACTTCAGAAGCACAAATGAAATAAGTAGCCTAATCTCATAGTCCATGGAACTAAGGATTAGGCACATAATGCCATCATGTTGTGGGAAAGAACGTGTACTTCGCATATATAGGTACGTTGTGTGAGCCACTATAAATACAGCTTTACTGCTGACGCCAACGGATAGCATATGCGCCATCTAGGAACTTACTTATAGTTGAGTTGTTAAAGCTCTAGAAATTTCTTGTAGGGTTGGGATATTGCTCATATCAAAGAGAGAGCAGAGCATACGTGAAGTTTGGACGGAACCCTTTCGTGGAGGACACACGCCAAAGTTACCAGGCAGCGAGTAACCCTGCGCAGCGTTGAACTCGACGGACACTTTCCGTACACTTTCTGCAGAGGTGCAGAACGTGGGCAGTGCGCGAATGCGGTCCAGCAGACTATGAAGCAAATGAAGCGTCGTTATAAGAGATCGGGTACGGCGAGGATCCACCATCCCATTCCCACCACCACTACCTCAACCACAGTAGACTGAATAGAACGGTGTCTATGGAAGCCGACCATTCCAAGTCGCATATTATTCGTGAGCATGACTTGAGAGAGCAAGGATTGCTGGTGATGTCGGCCACAATTGGAGTGGCGGTCGCGTGTACTCGGAGACAAGGCAGGTAAACGACATTTGAAGACTAGACAGCGGCTGAGATGAGATGAAGGTCGCACCAGCGATGTGAGCTTTGCCTCGGACTCCAATTGGGCGCTGGTGCCCAAGCAGCAACCCCCGAACCCGTGGCCTCTGAGCTTAGGTACTGTACCTTAGGTAATTGCTTACCTTGCCTACCTACTTTAGGCACTTACTGAGTACATATGTACATAGATAAGTACTTACATATGTACTTAAAGTACGGAACGTACCAGGTAAAGCACCCAAAGAGCTACGGCATCCGGGAAAACAAATGATCCGTGCTGTATGCGGGGAATGATAATTTATCTCTCAAGTAAGCAGCCATGTTGCATGCCAGTGCCAGGGTATTTGCATCAGAGATAAAGGCAAGATAGGTGCCCCAAAGAACTTGTCTCTGTAGGTATGGTAGAATGAGAGAGACGAAAAGTCCAAGCGAGATTTTCTAGTATGAATGGAAAAGAGTCATGTCGTAGACAGGTATGGATAAGGGCAAGAATCACCAGTAAGGAGCGGAAGAGCCTCAGGAATGATAGCATGAGAAGCCGGACAGATAATTTTTTTTATTGAATCTACCAGCTATGGGCAACATAAAAGGAATGGTTTCACTACGCGATACTGATCGTAAAATAAAATCTTTTCAGAACAGAATAAGGGGAACACTCGGGATAGTCGCACTGCATCGAACGAAGTGACGATGGCATTAACCAAGAAAGGCCTCCCTGATTGAACTACCGTTGGTGGCCTTTCGAAAAGGTTAAGTTGGCGACTTCCCAGAAAACATCATGAACTAGGTATTGAGTAAAGTGTCATTTGGCTGGCCATAGCGAGTGAGAGCATAAAGAAAATAAATCAACGAAAATGTAAGGATGTGGGATAGTCGCATGAAGATGTAGGCGGATGGCATGTGGCGAGAAGAGAGGTAGGTATCTTGTAGTGAAAAGTAATGAGCAGAGGCAACAGGACTAGTTAATGGAAGGGGGTTCCATGTTCACTAAACACTAGGTACCCAGGCGCGGTAACTTGCAGGACATTACACCGATAGTAAAGAGTATAAAAGCCATATGGAAGAAGAATAGAGACCAAGAAACCCTCGGCGACTGCTGAGGTAGAAGAGTGGCGAGGTGGTGAGGATAGGGTGGAAGGCAATTCGGGCAACTGATTCATCAGCCTTAAACAGCAGCGCCGATAGATGTGTCTTACGTAATCCGTACAGAAGCCCAAAGTGGCAACCACTTACAGACCACTGTACTGTAGTACATCACCACTCATTCACTGTAGGTAGGTACATAGGTAGGTACCTAGGTAAGTATGTATGTAGGTAGCGTATCTTGGCCAGCCTTGAAATGAAGCATCTGCAAACCAATACAACTTTTTGGTGCCGTTGTATATCCTATGAAATAGTTGTCAGCAGCTCTTTTCGTCTTGATACGATTTGAATCGGCTCCATGTGAAGGAAACCGCCGTAACCGCCAAAATTGCTTACCCTGCTTCGTCGAACATGTTGGCGGATCCGCCTAGCTATTCTCTACTCAACTTTGCATTTGCACGGAGCAAAAAGAGGCCATCTGCACCGCTGCAATCAACGCCAACAGCAGCTAGCCCTTGATTTCTAGCCTCTTTGCGACCAGCAAGGTTGCAATACGCTACAACGTCATCTCAACCACGATGCCTGGGCTGCCTTGTATGTGGAAAACTCGATATCCGACTGCCCAGGCTGGCTGCGGCCTGCTATGCGTATCGAGCTAACCAGTCATTGCTTTGTAGCTTCGGTCGACCTGGACGAATGCATCTCGCGGCTCTATAAAAAGGAACTTCTTGCCGAGTCGGTCATCGAGGCGATATGCGCAAAGACGAAGGAACTGCTCATGCGCGAGAGCAATGTCGTGCACGTGCGCGCCCCCGTCACTGTTGTTGGCGACATACACGGCCAGTTCTACGACCTCATTGAGATTTTCAAGATTGGCGGATGGTGTCCGGATACAAACTACCTCTTTCTCGGTAAGCCAAAGCGACTCGCATCTACACCCCGTCGCTAGGCGCAAACAGCTGATCTCCTGATTCATCTTGACCAGGCGACTACGTCGATCGCGGCATGTTTAGTGTCGAAACGATATCGCTTCTTGTATGCCTCAAACTACGGTACCCTAATCGCGTACACCTGATCCGAGGGAATCACGAGTCGAGGGGTGTCACGCAGTCATACGGCTTTTATACGGAATGCGCGCGTAAATACGGCAATGCAAATGTCTGGCACTACTTTACCGACATGTTTGATTTTTTGACATTATCTGTCGTGATTAATGACCAGATATTCTGTGTCCATGGTGGCTTATCACCATCAATACACAGTATCGATCAAATCAAGATTATTGACCGTTTCCGAGAAATTCCTCACGAGGGCCCCATGGCTGACCTAGTATGGTCGGATCCTGACCCCGAGCGCGACGAATTCTCGTTATCACCGCGAGGCGCTGGTTATACGTTTGGAGCGCGTGTCGTGAAGAAATTCTTGGCTGTTAACGGGATGAATCACATCTTACGAGCACATCAGTTATGCCAAGAAGGATATTTGGTCTTATACGATGATCATTTGAGTACTGTGTGGAGTGCACCTAACTATTGCTATCGTTGTGGCAATATGGCAAGTGTGCTGGAGGTTAGCGATACTGGCGAGCGCCATTTTAACGTATTCGCAGCAGCACCCGAAAACGACCAACATAAAGATCTCCAGCAGGGTGAGAAGACGGCAGATAGTAATGCGCTGCCTGATTACTTTCTGTAGGATGAAGGAGGGCAGAGACGAAGAGATGTTACTCTCTCCGATGACCTCAATGATGGGTACGACGGAGATGACGAGGATAGCTGGGAAAAGATACTCACGAGTGACGAAGTAATAGAACTACTCTGAACACACTTGGGAACATTGGAATCAAATCTCGTCGTCGAGACTATAACGAATCTATCCATTTCGTTGATGAGGGGATGGATTGTCTCAACACAAGATGAAGATACTGAAAACAAGGCTCAGCAGCTGACGAAGAGGATCATCCCTCCAAGGCGCGATTGACTTCGTGTGCAACCGCATACGGAATACAAAAAGGACACACAGACCACGGATACCCTGAACTCACGTCTTGCGCGAGTTCTCTTCATCAGTCAAGAGTATGCTATAGAACATTGACCTCCTTATCTACACAGCGATTCGAGGCGTTTCAATATGCTAATTTGGGGTTCGCTGTTTTATCCTGGTATCCTTTGGTATGGGTTTAAATATGACCCGAGGAATATTTTGGTTTACATCTTAGCGAAACCCAGAGTCTTACAAGGGAGCCTGGTTGAAGCGCATCGGATGCTTCTTGTACCTACAATACCGAGCGGTTCCTATCTAACCTACGAGTTATAGAAGGGATAGGCTGATTATGAATATAAATGCCATCACGAGTTCTTCGTAAGGCGTTATTGCGTGAATCCGGAGTCAGTTCCGGCGTAAAGTTTTGCGAGGTCTCACACACTATGTATACAGGCAGGGTTGAGATTACACAAGGTTATTTCGTCACGGGAAGCCTTTTGATTTGTTGCCGATGTACGAGCAACTTCAGACAGGGAAGGCAAATCTCTTAGCTGCCGATTTGGAAGTTGCCCTATTAAAGATGCGAGACAGCCTTCCCGTTTATCCTATCTCTCAATGTCGAGTTTTATTGTCTTTTCGCTTCTTCCGTTAGTTTGAGTGTACCTAGTTCTAGTAAAATGAACAACCCTTTTTGCCGAGACATTTGCCGTCTTCTCTCGTATCGCCGTTTCGTTGTTGTCATTGTCTTCTTCGTCGAGTTCGTCACACAAGTCATAGCCGAGTTTGTGCTCCTCCATAAGCCCGGTACTCGTCCTCCCAAGACCCGAGAGGTCAAAAATGGCTTGTTCAAGTCCCATTTGCCCAATTCTAGGCCATGGGGGGTGTGACCTGAGAGTTATTCCACTGAGTGAATATTGCCAATCATATATATCTACCAATCCTTGGAGATGTCAAAGCTCCACTCAAACTGTAAGTGTTGCTTCTTGTCATCGTCCACAAAGGTAGAGACAGCGTTGTAATGGCCGCGGGCTATCATGCCGGATGGGGCTTCTTCTTCCTGGACTAGAGAAACTTGGTGTCAGCTTGAGGGACACTCCTGTGTTGACTAAGCTACTTACAGCGCTTAGTGTAGATTGGTTGCACATCCGTGTTGGGAGCATAGCTTCCCTGAGAATTAAGTTAGTAGCTAGATGAGTATGCGAGGCCTAATTACGACCCTGTTCAATTGGTGTATTGCACTTGCCAACATCTCTGAGTCCTTGCTGACTCTAATGCCCTTACGCTTCACGGTTTGGACGTAATGCAAACCGCTGAGAATCTCATGCTGGACGCGGAAAGAGGCCACCATGGTAAACTTGGCGCCCTCCTTGATCTTGAAAGGGTTATCCTTGAGGGTGTTCTCACTGCCGGGCTGAGATAGGTCGATAGTGACAGGTGGGCGGCCAGCGGACTCCATCGTGAGTGACTGGATGATACAAACACGAGGGTCGTTGGGGTCAGAAATGTCTTTGCCACCTCCAAGGCCAAGTGATTTCTTGTATCGTTGAAGCGATTCATCGTTTGCATCTGCCTTGAATTTAGTAACAGGAACATTTTCATCTGGTGTAATGACCACAGTGTCGTAAAAGTAAGAGATGACCTCCTCTTGGGGAGACTCCGCCGGCCCATCGGCCGGGTCTTCGCTCGGTCTTTTGCACGATGTGACAGTGGTTTCCCTCTTGATCATCATGTTGGGCAAGCCTCGGCAAGTTATCTTTGGGTCTAGACTACTATTGCTGGAACTGTTCCGGGACGTTCTCTTGAAACGCCGAGTGATGTTGAGCGCGGATTTCGAGGCAACTTTATGCAGGAAGCTTGCAATAGATTTTGCTTTCTTGACTGTAAAACGATGGCCACTTGGTGAAGGGGGCAGATGTGGTGAACGCGGTGCAGATGGTGCAGGCGGTGTGGGTGGCATGGGTGGTGTAAAAGGATCTCTCTCAGGATGAAAGGGAACCGGGACGGGGTCATTGGAATTGAACGTTTTAGTACGAGGTTCCTGACTGCTCAGCCAGGCATTGACTCTATCCTCCAGACTGATGGGCTCCTGCGGCAACCATGATGGTAAACTTCCATGTGCCACTTGGTTTTCTTCTTCGCTGGTTGGTGTGACAGCAGACTGGTGACTTTGATGCCTTACAGGATGCCTGCGGTGCGAAGGGGTGAGATCCCAGCCATTAGGGGGCCTCGAAGGGTAACGGGGCAGAAGACGTGAGTGGTCATAGGAAGCAGCGCCATGGGATTCATGGTATTCTGGCATCATTCTTTCGAGGCCGGGAAGCCCCGCCCCGAAGGTGTAGGGGCGACCAGGAGGGATACACTGGGATGAAAGTCGGCGATAGTTATGAAAAAGTTGGACAGTTGTGATGACAGCCAAGAAACAATCCGAAAGTTGGCGTAACTCAACAATATTGTGTAGCATACGTGAGCCGGGTGGCAGTGGGAATCGAAATGAATGTGGTGCGTTGATGCCGAACATCAAGAGTGCTGCCGGTGAAGACCTTTGGGTCCCGTGCTTTATGGTTGCAGGTGGCTAATCAAGCACATGGCAGCGTTTCTGCTGGTTTGAGGATAGCCGTTGTTATCACTGTCACAGGCAAATTCAAAACCTCCCTAGCCCCCAACTCGTAGTGAGGTTCTACACGTCCACGTGAGAGGGATGTTGCCTTTGGATCAGAGGTCCTTGGAAATTCCCGAAGAGCTGATGGCCGGCATTTAGGACCATCCTGCACCTCACAGAATAGTGCTCTTCAGAACAGACACGTGCAAATTGAGGCAAAGATGTGCAAGTCGAAAATACACTCACCCATGTTCTCATACTCAGTCAAGCTTTGCTTTGGCTGTGAAAGCTTGTATCCCTTGGTCTCCTCAGGGAGGTGATCATTTTCATCGTGAGATGCCATTGTGGAAAAGCACCAGAGGCAAGTAGGTAGTTGGGTGGGTAGCTCAGGTACCTAGCTAATGAGCTTGCAGGCACAGACAAACGCAGAGATGAAGATAGATCTGACCAAGATCTAGGTTATGGAGGGTGCCGGAGTAAGGTCTAAGTAACAGAAAGCTCTTGCTCGCAGAAATGCAACACCAAATGACAACGAGAGAATGAGAGTAGCGGTGATGTTTTGTGAAGTGAAGTTATAGGAGGCGGGATGATTGGCCGTTGTTGTTAAGCTGCTGATGACAGCGTTTTGTACTGCGGGACAATGGTGGGGCTATCTCGGGGTTGGTTGGTTGTCTGGATGAGGGGCAGAGCCCCTTTTGTTCGGAGATCTGGCCAGGTGTTGGGACACTGCTCTACATAGGCATCCTTATCATCTGAGCTCGATGTTCTCAATAGGAATTCTTGAGAATCTAGGGTTTGTATTGTGTACTTTTGTATTGTGTACTTAGAATACTTCTGGCGTGGACTATTAATCCCGTTGGAAATATCAAGTCTACACAACAAGAACGTTGGGCTTGCCTAGACTCAGATCAACCAGCAACACAACCCTTTGACAATATACACGTAAACCGCCCTGTCCACTTTAGAGAGGGACTGAAGGCTTCACTTTGCTGAATGGAATAACGTCCGGAAACCAGACGCTGGAGATACTCCGACGGAATGTTCCTAACGTAGGCGTAGCGCTTCACAGTACAACGGACCTCAGCATGCTCACTAACTGCGATCGTCACTATCATGACTTGTGACTTCGGTGTCATTTGCACGGCAACCACGATTCAGACAACGCCAATATACATCCTCTTGTTAACTTTCAAGCCTATCTCATACCTGTAGATTATATATAGATCATAAACTGCTGGAGATGCCTAGATAAGTATGTAGGTATGAAAACCCCTGCTACCAGCTAGGGTCAGCCTAATACCTGATACGGTAGATGTGATGCTTAAAGCCACGCAGATTACAAGAGTCTACCGTAGTGTATCAGAGCATGTGTAGCTAAAGTATGGATAAGCGTTTCCTTAAATTTACCATAGCGGGTTTGGGGGGGTCTAAACAATGATGGCTGCAAGGGTTGTAGTGTTATTAGAATTTTGCATGTCTGTCAGCTGTACGAAAGACTGGCCGCTGCGAAACATAATAGGTACAAGTGTTATACATATAAAACCCTTATATTGCTGGTATACCTTTTATACCTAGGTTTATTTTTAAACGAAATCCATTTTTAAATGTAATTCATTTTTAAATATAATCCATTTTTAAATGTATAATTATTTTAGTTTAATAAATAATTATAGCTTAAGGCTATTAGCAATATTTTACGAAGGCTATAAAACGTTCCGTTAAAGTTCTAAATTGCGAAGCGATTGCGATAGGTTTCCTAGCCTTCAGGGTGGTGGTGGTGGTGGATTGGATTGGATTGATCCTTGCAGCGATTATCCTTGAAGGTGGCGATGATTGGATTGGCTGTATGGCTAGGTCTGTATGGCTACCTAGCCATACAGACCTAGCCATACAGACCTACCTTGTGAGGCCTAGGGTAGGGGTGACCCACTGTACGTAGCTACAGGTATACAGTCTTCCACAGTGGTCCTTGGCAGACCTAGAGACTTCACTTCTATAACTTTATTTATATAATATAAAATAATTAGCTATACCATTATAAATTAATAGTTAATAATTATTTATTATTACATTATTAATTTTCTTTTATTAATAGGTATTAAGCTTTATAGCTTTATTTATTTAATCCTTTATAATTATATTAAGGTATACTTTTCCTTATATTAAACACCATTTTAATCCAGTTAATTAATATTAATTTTTTTAACTTTATATAAAATGAACTTTTATTCCTTATATTAAAAGATACTCTTTAAGCTTTATTAAGTCCTAAAACTTTATACCGCCCTATCCTACTTTAATTAAGGTAAATATATTATTAATAAAGTAACTTTTTAGATTTTAAACTATTATATACTTTAATATAGAACTTATTAACCGGGAAGACCTATATTTAATAAACTACCTTATATAGGGATAAAAGTTAAAATATAAAGCTATTAAGCTTAAAAATAAATATTCTTTAAATTAAATAAAATTTAAATATTAATTTAAAACCTTTTTAATGCATTAAAGGAAAATCTATAAAGCTTATAAAACTTATTATTATTATTAATTAAAATCCTTTTAATTATTTAAAAATCCTATACCTATATCCTTTAAATTATATAATTCCTTAAGGCTTTTATTTTTATAAAGGAAAGGGAAATAATTAATCCTATAAGGTTCTTAAAATCCTTAAAGCAATTTAATAAATACCTTCCCTATAATATAAAGTAACGTATAGCTTAAGTTATATAAGCTATTTAAAGAAGCTACCCCGCTTTATTTATTAAAGCAATTATAGCTTTACTTTTTATAAATGAACCTACTATTATTACTTAAACCTTTATAGTTTAATATATTAATTATAAAACTTATTAATATTTATATTAATAATCCTTAACTTATATCTTAATATATATTATTTATCCTATTAAAAAATCCTTTAATTAATTTTATAATGTAAAGAAAATCCTAATATTAAAACTTTACTATATTAATTATAGTTAATAATTATACTTTACTTACCTTAAAAAAAGTTAAACGGCTATTTAAAAAAGCCTTTAACTAATAGGGTAATTATTATATAAAAAATATAGTAGCACTATTTATAACTATAATTAATAAATATAATTAAAATATAGTTAATCTTTTTATAATAGTTAAGCTTTAAACATTAATACTTAACTTAATACCTTTATAATTAATAAACGTTAATTATTTTAATTTTAATATTAAAGACCTTATAAGTATAAGTATTATAATAAATAGAAAAATTATAAAATATATTAATATTTATACCTTTATAAATAAACTTAAGTATTTTATTACTTAATATTTTAATATAAAGGTATATAAGGTTTAAATTTAATACCTTTTAAGTTTTACTTTTATATAACATTTTTAAATTTTATCCATTATAAATAAAACCCTACTTAAAATAACTATTATAAATATTATTAATAATAAGTTAATTAAAAGATTTAAACCCTTATAGTTCACTTTAATAATTAAACTATAAGCTTATAGATTTATAATAAATAATATTTATAAAAATTATAATATTATAATATTTATATAATAGGTAATTTAAAACGTTAAAGGCTATAATTAAAATAATATTAATTAATTTATAATAGTATTTAAAGCCTTTAATAGGAATATTTAAAGCTAGTTACCTATTCCTATTATAAAAACCATTATAGAAATATTTTTTAAAACTATATATAAAAGAAAGAGTATATTTAAAAATATAACTATAAATAGATTTTTTTACCTATAAAGTAACCTCTTTCCTTTAAGCTTCCCTTTATACTATTAAAATTAAAATAGGATTAACCTATATAACTATAATTAAAGGGGAGGAAACTTTAAAGGCTATAGAAGTTTTAAAGGTTTTCCCCTATACAATGTTAGGTATCTTAACTAATGGTCTTAAGGATAACCTTTCCCTTAAACAGCACCTTTTCCTTAGGGTTAAGGACAGCCTTTCTTATAGCCTTTTCCTTAAAGTCAGCCTTAAGGCTAACTTTAAGGTTAACCTTAGGGTTAAATATAATAGTAAAGGAATCCCCCCTAGCGTTAGCTTACTATAAACCCACCTATAAATTTAATCCCGGAAAATAAAAGATTACTTGCTCCGCTTTTAA